GATTTCATCAACTGACAGGACTGGATCCAGCAGAAATCATAGTGCCTTTAACTAAAGAGGAAATTTCCTCAGTGTGGAAAGGTAATGAGTATTGGCAAATAGTGTGCAGTAACTTTTTGGGAACTATTAGCAACAATTATCCCAAAAGTGAGAGAATAAAATTTATAAAGAAAACCATTTGGCTCCTTCCATGCATTGTAAAGAAAACACCAATCTCTGGAGTTCCTACATTCTACACTGATGCAAACAAATCAGGTAAAGCAGGATATAATCAGGAGAAATAAGTAAAGCAGTTCAAAGCCCTTATAACTCTGTACAAAAGGCAGAATTGTACACCATTCTTATGGTACTTATGGATTTTACCGAAACTCTCAATATAGTTGCTGAATCTCAATATGCAGACAGAGTCATCTTACACATTGAAACTGCTGAATTTATTCGTGGTGGTACAGAATTAACTTCATTATTTATACAACTACAAGAAATAATCAAGAGTAGGACTCATCATTACCGATCCCATACGGGTCTCCCAAGTTTTCTAACACAAGGCAATGATGAAATTGATTGCTTATTAATGGGAAGTATGTTGGAGACCTTGTAATTTCATTTTAAAAAACACCATGTGAATGGCAAAGGTTTAAAAAAGGATTTTTCCATCACTTGGCAACAAGCTAAGGAAATAGTAAAAAAAAAAAAGTCCTACTTGTTTCTTCTATAACCAAACTCCTTTACTAGCAGGTAGTAACCCTAACGGTATACATAGAAATGAAATTTGGCAAATGGATGTGTTTCACTTTGCAGAATTTGGAAAATTAAAATATGTACACCATAAAATAGACACATTTTCAGGATTTCAATGGGCAACTGCTCTGAGCTCTGAAAACGCTGGTTCTGTCATTACACACCTATTAGAGGTAATGACTATTATGGGTATACCTGCACAAATAAAAACTGAGGATGCTCCCACATATGTCTCCAATAAATTTAAACAGTTTTTAAATATTATAAAACGAAGCATATTACTATTATACTACACAATCCTACCGGACAAGCAGTTGTTAAGAGATCTAATCATACTTTAAAGGAAATGATCTATAAACAGACAGAGGGAACCAAGACCCCCCAAAAAAACAGATTACACAATGCTTTATTAACCTTAAACTTTCTTACTGCTAATGAGAAAGGAAAAACAGCCACAGAAAGACATTGGACAATAGAAAAAAACTTCTGAGCCAAATGAGCCAGTATACTTCAAGGGTGTGTTGACCTCAGTATGGAAACCAGGATATGTACTATGTTGGGGAAGAGGTTTTGCCTTTTTTTCTACAGAAGAATAAAAGCTATGGATACCATCAAAGTTGATTTGAACAAAAGAAACTTCTTGGTGAGGAGAAATGATAGGTCATCTACCAAAGTAAATCCCACAAGTTCTACAGAGACCTCACAAAGGTCAGGGGAATGTTCTGTTCTTGTCTTTATAGGCAAACAGAAAACACCCATCTTCAAAAAGCAAAAAGACATTGGTGGTGTAGATTCCTAAGAAGAAAGGATAGCTACCCAGAAAGAATCATCAAATAAATAAGAATCTCACTTATGGTATCAATATCTATTCATAGTAAAATCTCTCTACCTATATATCCTTACTTCCCAGTACAGCTATAGTCCCAATTCACATAAAAATAAATGCTGGATTTGGAGTTGGATTTGGCTTTCCTTCTCTAAACTCAAGCATGTTGTTAAAACAAAATTCAGTGTTTCTGTTTCATATCAAAAAGCCAATTGGTATAAGACAGAAGAAAACAAAATATATCTAGAGATTATTATTTGTCAAAACTCTGTTACCTTTCAAAAATTCCCAGTATGCATACCTATAAAAGTTAAACTTTCAGCTGGGCGGTGGTGGTGCATGCCTTTAATCCCAGAACTCGGGAGGCAGAGGCAGGCGGATCTCTATGAGTTCGAGACCAGCCTGGTCTACAAGAGCTAGTTCCAGGACAGCCTCCAAAGCCACAGAGAAATGCTGTCTCGAAAAACCAAAAAAAAAAAATTTTAACTTTCTGTGTTTATATTAATGTTTAAGTCTTCCACAGTAAACAATAAAATTTCCTAGCAGCAATCATTGAAATCTCTGGAAAGAAGATGGAGCTCCACTTCATCAATTCCACTTGATTCAGCTTGATGTCTCTGAACTAGTAAACGCTGCTCTACACAATTCCAGATTAGCTAGCTGAGATGGTGCACCTTCTTTTAATACTCTGGCCAGTTCAGATATGAACTTCAGACAAGCATCACATGCCACTCAGAGAAGTCCAAAGACATTGGAGGTGTAGATGCCTGTAGAAGAAAGGATAGCCAACAAGAAAGAATCATCAACCAAAGAAGAATCTGACTTATGATACCAATATCTATCCATGGCAAAAATCTTTATACTAAACTTGTATCTCACTTCCCAGTGTAGTCATAGTCCCGATTCACATAAAAATCAATGCTGGCTTTGGAGCTGGATTTGGCTTTCCTTTTCTAAATGCAAGTATGTTTTTAAAACAAAATTCAGAGTTCTGTCTCATATCAAAAAGCCTATTGGTGTAAGACAGAAGAAAACAAAATCTAGGGACTATTATTTGTCTCTGTTATCTCTCAAAAATCTTATTTTCATCTTTATTGTTACATTTCCCAGAATTCTCCTCATCTTCTAGTGTGTATACCTATTAAAGTTAAACTTTCTGTGTTGAAATTAATGCTTATGTTTTCCACAGTGAACAATAAACTTTCCTAACAACAATCTTTGAAGTCTCTGGAAAGAAAATGGGGTCCCACTATATTGACTCCACTTGATTCAACTTTATGTCTAGTAAACACCACTCTAGGACCCGTTTGGGACTAATACTGCTCTAGACAATTCCAGGTTAGCTAGCTGAAATTGTGCACCTTCTTATAACACTCTGGCCAAAGCTTCAGGTAAGAACTTCAGTCACACATCTCCTGCCACTCAGAGACTAGCTACAAATGTTATAGCTAGTCCTCTCCAGACTTTACCATTGCTTTATTTTTTTTTCCTACAGGATGCGATAGAGTCACCATCACCCCCATTAAAGCAGGAAGTAATTCTAAGAAAACAATGCTCCCTTTCCTTACTGTTGGCTTTAAGGGTATTTTTTTTTCTTTCTCGTCGCTGAAAAAAAAAAAAACCTGCTTAGGGTTGGCCTTAAGTTGTGTAGGGTTGGGTATGGAAGGTGATGGTCAGACTCGGGGTATCTCTTTTTGAAAAGTTTAAGAGTATGGTTAGGATGGAATATAAGTAGATTAACACATCTTCTTGAGAACTAATTTTAGCAACTATTAGCTATAGATAACTTACATTGTTAGATTCTTGTATGTTGACTGTGTAGGGTTTGCTTCTGTTTACGATGTTTTGCACAGAAATACAAAACTCTGTGTGTGTGTGTGTGTGTGTGTGTGTGTATTGTATATTGACACAATTTAGGATATTTTATCATGTTGAACTATACAGTTTTACCTCTTTTCTAGACATTTCAATTCTACCTCTGTTGTTGATATATATATTTACATATTTTAAGTCATTGCCCTTGCTAAATTATTTTGGAAAGCTTCAGCCATTGAGCAATTATGTTTCTGAGAATTACAGATTGTAGTTACCCATGCTTCTTATACCTATGAGGTTAGTCAGACATAGGTATTTGATCTTCAAACACTTCAAAGACCTACAGAATATGACATTTAAATGTTTTAATAATTTAGTACTCTGTTGACATGAGGCACAATTGCTCCTGACAGCACCAAGCTATTCCTGAGAGTATGAGGGGCACTGATGACACTCCTTCTGGAGTTCATTCTCTCCTCAGCTACTGGCCCCTTGAACAAAGAACTGCCCCTACCTCAACTGCTGACTTTGAACATTCTGTCCTACTGGGCTAGCAGGAGATTTACTTAAAGAGACTGCTGAACCCTGCCAAGTCAGGGTAAGACAGTCTTTCAACTTCCCTGCCTCTGTGTTGGTCTGTCAGACTTGGGTATCTCTTTTAGAAAAGTTTAAGAGTATGGTTAGGTCTCAGCTGCTGTGAGACCTTGGGTGACTGTCCAGGGAGCCTGCTGTTTCTGTCTTTGCTGCACCTTTTGGGAGTCACTCTCTTGTACTTCCTGCCTACCCTAGTAACGTTATCTTCAGTCTCAGGTCCTTGATGAGGTTGAAGAGTAGACTATCACAGCTATTGTCCTTTTTTCTTAGATAGAAATGTTAGGTAAAAGACTTAACTGTCTAGTTTAGGACAGCTTTGCAGTAATCTGTTATCATGCCTTTACCCTGAGACTGGACATGTAGTTCATACCAACTGCTCTATGTTGCTTCATTGGCAGTAGGTCTTAAATTGTGTATGTTTTTACCTTTCCTTCTTTGAGAGCATACTTGATATTTGCTATCATTGTATATAGTATCAAGCCTAGACCACCTTCTTTAGACTAAAAGGGGAATTGTAGTGACATCTTGCCTGTGAACCTGTAACAGTGGCCACACCCTTTGGACATGGTTACAGGCACAGACGTGACCCATTTTAAGGTAGAGGAGCTGGGTTTGGAGACCTCTTGGGTCACAGAGAGCATGGGGAGGCAAGGACTGCATCCTTCAAGCAAAAATGCTGTGACAGTTACTTGCTGTTGCCTGTGTAAGTTCCTTCCCAATAAACACCTAATTATCATTCATCAGTGAACTCATTATAACACCTTGCCTTCAATGAAAACATTTGAAGTCCACACTCTGAGTACTTAGTGAGCAGTATGGACAGAGGTCACAGAAATGAGAGGGTTGACCAGCAAGTCCCAGGGAGGACAAGTAATCGACAGGACTTAGAACAGTGATGTTCAACATGCGGGTTGCAACGCCACCAGAGGGTCATGTAGCACTAGGAAGGTTGATAACCATTGTCTTAGAACATGAGAAACAAGGCACAGATATGACCCCGGGACTTTTCTTTGATTAATTTCAGCTCCCTCACAGGCTCTTGATGTGTGGAGACAAGTGCGGTCAGAGAATGGAAGTCATGTTGTGACCTTATTCTGGAAGGTAAGGCGTGCAGCTTCAGGTCTGACTTGCTGCCTCTGCATAGCAGTGTACTCCCAGCCAGGAGAAACCATGGTGTCAGTCTCATAGGACTGGTCATCAGACAGAAGGAGCCACTCCAAACCCTGTCCTAGTGCTTAGGCTACAACTTCCCTGAGCCCATCTGATGGCCAATTCTGATCTCTAGAACATTTCCTGTATGTTCAACTCAGACCCACCATAACTTTTGCAAGGTTTAAGACCAGGAACTATGTCTAGAGTCACATACCCTACTCCTAACTATATGTAAACACAAAAGTTTCAAATCAAGCTATTAAATTATAATGGAAGATCAACATTATCCTTCTGCCTGGCCCAATACGCTGCATGACAACCTAGAAGGCTGGCTTTACTGTCTCACACCAAAACACGGTGATGGGAGGCAGTTGGCACAAGGCCACAGCCCCTCCAGCTTTTCTTTTCCCCTCAAGTTTGTGTCCTGGGCCTCTGCATATATATGTGTGTGGCTCTGCTAAGTCTATGTCTGAGTTCTGTCCACGTCCTGAGGGGACAGGTGCTGCTTGATCTGAGATCTCAGGGTACACAGAGCAGGATACAGTCTGTCCCAGGGAGAGCAGATCTTAGGAGTCACTGACATAGGTGTGTGTATGCATGTGAGAGGGTATGTTCTTAGGTGTATGTGGATTGGGCAGCTAAGGGATGGGTAATGAAAAAGTAATTAGAGAGTAATTTTACAGTAAAGCTCATTTTGAAAGGATCACCTTTTTTTTTCAGCCACTATTAAAATCACAGGCCAATGGCAAAATCGTATCCTATAATATAGTTGTAGAAAACCAAGACCGACCATCTGAGGCAGAACACTACTCTGTCCAGGCACCAGCCCTTGGCACACAGCTGAGCCTTGACATGTGTTCTTACAAGATTCACATCACAGCCAACAACAGCATGGGTGTGTCGCCTGAGTCAGTGATGGCCCTCTCTAATGATTCAGGACATGGTGAGTCAGCATGGGTCAATTTAGCTTACATTCTTAAGCAAAATATTAGTGATATTTCCAAGTAGTGACAGACAAATAAAACAGTAACTTGAGGCAACAATGTGCTATTAGACACTTCCTTTGGAGCTGGGTGTATCTACAGGTTGTAATGTGACTGTGCCTTCACAGTGACCCAAAACACTCTGTCCCTAGATATTTCAGCACATTTAAGAGATGATCTAAAATTCATTTAGTACATTCAATCCCACAGCAAATCCTCTCCGAGAGTCAAGACAGTGCCCTAGAGATTTGTGACTTGTGGGATATGGACCATATTAACTGTGCTGTAACCACTATTTGCCCACTGTTGTCACCTATATGGAATAGCCATATGGAGTATGCCTGTATTCACAACACTCAGGAGGTTGAGGCAGGAGGATCATGAGTTTGAGGCCAGCCTGTTATCATAGTGAGACTATGCTGAGGGAAAAGAGTGATGGGGCAAAGGAGCCCATAGACATCACACGGGTAGCCGATGTGCTCTTCCAGGAGACATTGTAATTTGACCAAGTTTGTAGAATAACAGCAGATGATAACCTGCTAATCTCTCAGCCAGCTACAGAGTGAACAAAGTGGAAGCGATCTCACATCTGAAACCAAGACTGACATTAATGTCCCTCTTGACTGAGCTGCAGAAAAATCCTGGCATAGTAAATCCCCAGTCACCTGCTATGAAAAGGTACACATGTGGACAAAAGGCAAACGGAGTTGACATGCTGAGGTCACACACCTTGCAACAATGCTATCCTTCAGTTCTTGCTGCTAAAGGTACCAGGCCTGTGGGGCTATGAAAGACTGTGTGGTTCCATTCGTGAATCATATTAGCAGACATTTTATTTTTAAAAAGAACTGTCCTGTGTGAAACCAGTTCTAATGCTCTGGAGTAGGGCAACACTTGGACCTTGAGGATGGTGAATGTTACCCATTCTCACAGAATTACACCAAATCCTGCACTTTAGACTCCTTGGCATCATGTGACACCGGGCAGTTCTAATTTCTAGTTAACATTGGCATGAAACTAAGGTTTTGTTCATACATCTGGGTCCTGACATTATTACACAGCAGGAGCACACAGCAGGGTGTACAGCTCAAGGCATAAGGTCTTTGAGCTGGTTTCTTCAGGATGCTGGTTCCCAGCTCAAGCTTACCCACACAGCTTCTTCACCTTCCTCTATCAAAGAAATAAATCTGTCTCACACCAAAACTGGCATTTCTTCTTAATTTTTTCATACACATGAGAAATGCACTTTGTAAGAAAAGCATTGGAAACTCAGAATGGTGGGAACAAGGCAGTTTATTTCATGACTTTACAAAACTGGGTGTGAACCCATGATGGCCATTGATGGAGCATGGAAAACAGTTTTTGTAACCCTACATGTCCTCTTTGGCTGAACAATTGGGTCTTACCTTTCCCTCTGCCGTGTACTGTTGTGTACTGTTGTCTTTTTCCAAACACAACCTATGCTGGGCTAATCTAAATATTTTGCATTCTATTTATTTAAAACATATCAGGTAGATGGCCTTTCAGGAAAGCTTGACTCTTAGTAGTTTGCTACTTCATGCTTTTCATTTGGCTGGTAGTGTCTTTAGCAAGTTGTCAGCAAGGCTCCAGTGTTTCCTGTTCTTTGTAGCTGAGCCTATGCTTACTGGAGGCACTTCTGAAAATGAATCATACAAATACATTACAAATGAACCACTTAGAGAAGACATTCCAAACTTAGGGCCCCAATGCTTAGCAAGCTATGTCCTTGAAGCTGCAAATATGATTTGAAGAATGGAGATAGTGAGGAACACCTGCACTCATCCTATATAGTCATTAGGAGCTCTCACCTGTTTGGATGAAGTACCAGAGAGAAACAACTTTTAAGAAGATTGAGTTTGTTTAGTCCATAGTTGTAGAGACTGATATCATGGTTGGTTAGCATTGTGGGAAGGATGGATATCATGGCGGGTAGCTTCTGGTGGAGCAAAAGCTGCTCACCTCAAAGTGCTTGGGAAGCAGAGAGAGGACAGAACCAGAATCCCAATATCTTCTTTTATAGCATGCTCAGTATTCTAACTTCCATCTTCCAGTGTCAACATTTGAAGGGTCTCTCTGCTTCCAGAAAGTGCCATAATCTGGGGACCAAAGTTTTCGGTACAGAAGCCTTTAAGAGACATTTTAAACCAAAACTATAAACAAACATGGCATGTGTTGACTTATGTCCTTACTTGGAAATTGCAAAAGAAATACAATGAACTGAATCAGGAGTATTATTCCATTTGTTTCTGTACAGAAGAGGTCCATGAAAAAAGAATTAAAGGTACAAAGGATGGATTCCATATTTCTTGGGAGCCTTTATCTGGAGATGCTTTAGGCTATGTTGTGGACTGGTGTGCACATTCCCGGGACCAACACTGTGATTTGAAATGGAAGAACCTAGGTCCCAATACCACAAGCACCAACATCACCTCAGGTGAGAACTCTCAGCCCTCCTCTTTGCATATCCCCCTTGCAGCAAGTTCAACTTAGACTTCCGTTCTAATGTACAGGTACTCTGTCCTAGGCTAACAATGCTGAAATGAATACAGCATGGTTGTTTGGAGATCAGATTTAATGAGAATAGATTCTGATCTCTGGGCTCAAAATCTACTACAGCAGAATATGCAAATGTAGACCCAAGTACAGATTTTAATAATCCCCCCCCCTAAATTAGAGGGACAATGGAACCATGTGCAGAAAGCTTTTACAGATGCAGAGAACAGCACATACTTGGGATATGTTTAGGGCATGGAGTTGACAGAAACAACAAAAAAAAATCAGCTTTCAGTTTCAATAAACTTGCAGACATGAACGCTCACCTCTTTTACCGAATCTACAATTTGAAGACTCCTGATGTTTTAGGGAAGTCAAAGGGGCTCCAATGGGTGGCTTAAGCAGGAGGCACGGGTGCATCATCTATGGCTGAAGGACTGATGTGGGAATTGTCTAGACCCAGAAAGTGGTGCAGGTTCCTGCAAGATTCCGGGCCCAAGAGCTTTGCAGGCTGTCTACAGGGCTGCAGGTGAAAGAGGACCAAAGGGAGGGGAAGTCAGGCTTTCAAGATTCTGAGTGTTAATGGGAGGACAGAAGGCAAATACTGTAAGGACATTTGATATCAAGAGCGGTGTTAGAGTAGTTGGTGAGTCTGGTCCAGTTCCATACCAGTTCTATGCATGTAAGCTGAGGGTCCTGGCTCCAGAGTAGATGGCAGTCTCTGTAGAACTTTCCAGATAGCACCATGGTCACAACATAGAAGATTCTGAGGTCTAGCAGCAAGAGGGTAGGAGTAGAGGAGGAAAAGATGAAAGATTTTGAGAAAGAAACTACTAGGAAAGTGCGCACTCATTGGTCGTCCTTTCTTTTCAACACAGATGATGTCATTCTGTCTTGTTAAAAAACCCTTGACTTCTCTTCTCCAGATGCTTTTAAACCAGGGGTTCGGTACAACTTCAGAATTTTTGAAAAATCTGTGCAACAGAATGCTCAGTTACTAGAGAAACAAACGGGATACACACAGGAACTGGGTAAGTAGACGGTGTTGGCTTGCGTCAAGAAGACTTGTTCTGAGCCATCCGTGTACTCATAGCTTTGTGTTTAGGAAGATTCCCTTCCCAAGCTTAGTTTTATGGTCCCATTTATTTTAGAAATTACATTAAAATTTTAAAATCTTCATTAAAGGAGATTTATAAAATGTTGCATGAAAGACGGTGTATCATTGATAATTTTAACACCCTAAAAGACAATACCCATTTCTCTATATGGATACACACGTTTAAATAAAAATAGGATCTCACTCTACAAAGTTTGTTAACTGCTTTCTTGATTAATGCCACAAAATACTAATTGACCACAGTGCTACTTCTGTGACTTGAAAGCACCTCCCTCTGCATATGCCAAGCCACCTATCATTGGACAATTTAGAATGATTACAGTGACTTTCACTGAGAAACTATACATTTTATCTCCAAGCAGCTTCTAGCTTCAAGTTGTAAACCTCTTGTGCCCAGTCTAATTTTTGCTAAGTATTTCTCTCTCTCTCTCTCTCTCTCTCTCTCTCTCTCTCTCTCTCTGTGTGTGTGTGTGTGTGTGTGCCCATATATCCACGTGCATGCATTCGCAAGTGTGTGCATGACGGGGCCAGGATGCACCCTGTACATTCCCAGAGTGTCTGGTACATGCATTGCCTTGTCCCTGGCACTGGATTCATCAAATCTCCTCTCACATCTTTGATTACATCTTGACTCTCCTGTTCCTTCTTCTTCATGTCTGTAGATTCTAGGGATCAGAAAATACTGTTGAGACTTCGAGGCAGAATCAGTACTAAGACAGACCTTTTGTTTTTACTCCCCCCACCCTATGACTTTTCTCTAAGTTATTTAATCTCTCTGGGTGTTTAGGTCTTCATCTCCGGAAGCCTTGAAGGAGGCAACTGCACATCCCCTCCCAGCTCTCCTGTATCTGGCTATACATTATCAGGGGGAAAAGACAGGTCTCCTTAACTTGACACAAGTTCTTAGTGTTCAGAGCTGCCTGTGGTCTGATTAGTTTGCATGCATGCTCTGAGTCCATTCCCCATTTTTCTTTCCTAGCTCCTCTGGAGAACCCGAAAGTGATCATTAATAACTTTACCTCCAACTCCTTCATCCTGAGCTGGCCGGGTTATGACAGCGACTTCCAGTCTGCTTTTATAGAAGGGTACCGTGTGTACTTGAAATCCAAGGAGATGCAGTGCCACCCAAAAGGGAAAAGGACGAGTCTTTCAGGTGATGCTTGCTTTTGTCACCTAGACTTATCGCACCATTCAGAAAGCAATGAAATTGATGCTGAGTCTGCCCTGGAGCTAGGAAAAAGCATGAACAGGTCCCTATGTGACCAGGCCAGGCTAGGGACCAGGCCAGGGACCAGGCTGATGCTCCACATCATTTTAGAATCAATAGGCAAACAAAAGGGGTGTGAGTACAGGAAGTGGTATTTTAATTCACTTCAAAAATAATGCAGACATGGCCATCAGCCCCTTAAGAAATCCTTCTACTTGGAAAACTTGCTTGCTTTTTCCAGGCCCTTCTTAAAAAACACAACAACAACAAAAAAAAACTTTGGCAAATGTTATAATATTTTATTCCCTTATCTGTTTGTGGTGCTGAGGAACAAAGCCAGGGCCTTCCGTATGTTAAGAGTATAAAGTGTGTCTGTAAGCCACATTTCTGGTGTCGGTTTCTTTTCTTCCCTGGTGTGTGCTTATTGTATTCGGCGGAGTTGTAGGACCTGTAGTGGATATTTTGTTTACTTAGTGACACATCTTTGAAATCGGTGAGATTATAATTTGGTTTTGCGGTTGGTCCTGAAATAGCTGGGGTTATCCACACTCAGCCCTCCCACACGGTCTCTGCTCCTCGTCTCTTTCTTCTTCTTAATAAGTCACAGTTCCATGTATCCCAGGCTGGCATGAACTCACTGGTTAACTGAAGATGGCCTTGACCTTCTGCTCCTCCCGCTGGGATAAAAGGCACGTGCCATCATGTCCAGAGTGTGCGGTGGTGGGAACTAAACCCCGGGCCTCTGTGTGCTAGGCAAGCACTACCACACTCTTAATATGATTCCTCTGATAACGACATTGTTTTTCAATTCAGATAATTCAGTGCTCTGTGAATATGAAATCAAAGACCCCGAGCAAAAGTCATTCACTGTGGAAAACCTTCAACCAGAATCCCTCTATGAGTTTCTCGTCACTCCGTACACCAGTGCTGGCCAAGGCCCCAATGAAACATTCACAAAGGTCACGACTCCAGATGAGAACTGTGAGTTTCTCCAAATCAAATGTTGCCCTCAAGATCAAGTTCTTACATTTTGTCTAGATCAGCAAATTTCAATAATTTCTTCTCTCCATCTCTTCCTCTCTCTTCTACACAAAAGTGTTACCCAGAATCCTGTTCCAAACCCCAGGTAAAAGTAGCAGTAATCTGACCACTTATGATCTAGAACCTTTTTCTCATCTTTCTCACTGACCCTGGGTGCCTGTCTCTGGGAGTCAGTCTCGGGGTGACTTGAAAATCACAGCACATTTTAGAGTTGACATCAGAAGGGTTGGCAGTTTCTCTCTCCAGCATGGGTGGTCATGGGCTGCCTTCTGCTTTGGCCTTCTACCTGGTTTTCTGGGCTGACCGGTGGATTTTTGCTCTGCTAGGGTCTGGGGAGGACAGTCAGAGCCTGGCAATATGAGGTAGATTGGGCAGGTATGTTACCAGCTCTGTGATTGTGAATCTTGTTGGGGAGAGGGTCAGGTGAAGAGATAATGTCTTTCTAAAATGCATTTGGCTTGAGAGATAGAGTAAGAAGAGACATAGTAGGAACTGTGTTTCCAAAACAAACTCTGGCAGCCACTAACAGAAAGGTGGGGAGAGAATGCAATCTAATACAGGGTGCTGGGGACAATGTCTTGGGATGGCTCTCCTCAGATAAGCCCACACCAGGTTCTTGAGTGTCTCTTAACTTTCTTCCCAAATGCCTTTCTTTCTTTTACACCCAATGCTCAACGTCTATAATAAATTTACTGGAAAAACTTTAATTCTGCTTCACTTGGTTCATACTGAGATGCTTTGCTGATGTGAAATCAAGATCCAGTCTTGAGTGGTCCTAAAAGATGAAGTCTTGCTGGAGGCACTTCTAGGCACTTCTAGGCCCTCCATTGCTGCAATAGGATTTGGAGCATTGTATGAGTGTTTGCGCTGGTGAGTGGGTGGGAAGTCACTGAAGGGCCAGGCTGAGGAGACCTTGAAGACACTTCGAGAAAGAAATAGGCTTAAGCTGGAAGTTCCCGGCTTCCCCCAAGCAGCATCCATTCACTGAAATCTGAGCTGCTAGGATGGGACAGGACTGTCACAATAATTAGAATGGTAGACCCACAGTGTCCTAACTGGTGATGGGACAGGACTGTCACAATAATTAGGAGAGTGGACCCACAGTGTCCTAACTGGTGTCACAGACACATACAGCTGCAGGTCAGATCAGAATTCAAGTAATTCTGTAATTCAAGTAATTTCGTTGGATGGGGTGATGCTTTTGAGATTGGGGTGTCATGTAGTACAGGCTACATAGCTAACTTGAACTCATGACTCTCCTGCCTACACCTACCTAATGCTCGAATTGTGGGCATTGCCATGACTAAGTCTTATTTTGAGTTTTAAATTTATTTCTGTATTATTTTTCCCCACCTTCTGAGTTTATATGGTATGCAAAATGATAACTTTATATTTTTAAGATTTCATTAATCTTTGTGGTAAACCTTATGACCTTAGCTTTACTAATCACATTGACTGCTATTAATAAGAAAGTATTTCAACTACTCACAACTTCCCTGACACTTGGTGTACATATTAAAATAGAATGTTATATGAGTCTGCTAACTACACCTCAGCCCTTGATACCTAGGAATTAGAAAAATTTACATTTGCTAGGAGACTTGTTTGATAAAAATGAACAAAAATGCCAAAACTGTAATGCTGAAATTCTAAGTTGTGTAGAATTTTTTGCTCATTTTGTGGTACCATTTAACAGCAGGTCCCTTTCTGAGCTGGTACTTTGTCTTTGAATGATGACTAGCATACTAAGTAAAGATAATGAGGCACAGAGGTCAGGAAGTCTATTTAGAGACCTCTGGTGCCCTTCTCCCCTACCATTCCTGCCTCTGCTTCTGGACATTTGGAACTATGTTTCCACTGGATTTAACAAGCACACTGGCTTCAGCTGTTTCCCCACCAAATGATGGTCAACTTAAGATGCCTTTGGGTTGATGATGTGTAAAAGCAGGACACGCTCAGAAGAAAGTGTTCCTTCCATTTTGACCTTTTCCAGGCTGGTGAAATGCTGGATGGTGGCACAAGCCACAGCTCCAACAGCCAGGCCCAACCAGAGGGTGGCCAGTGCACTCTGTGGTAGGTAGCTGCTGTGAAGCCAGGCTGTTAGCAGACAGTGTGAGTGGGACACATCTTCTGTAGTACTTAGAACCTACGGTCTGTTGTCATGACGTAGAACTGGGAGTAACTTCTCAGCCTCAGTACAGAAGTAGATTATGTTCTGAAGGTTTGTTTTCAAAATCGACCTGAAAAGTAGTTGAACTAAACTAAAACAAATGGAAAAAAATCAAACTCAGTCTCTCTCCTCTCTCTCTCTCTCTCTCTCTCTCTCTCTCTCTCTCTCTCTCTCTCTCGCTCTCTCGCTCTCTCGCTCTCTCGCTCTCTCGCTCTTTCTCTCTCTTTTTAAGACAGGATTTCTCTGTGTAGATCTGGCTGTCCATAGGTAGGGAAAAAGTTGGCATAAGCAACTTAGGAAAACTGGTAGATTTGTGTCTTCTAAACAAAGTGTGTGTTCAGGCTGGGTGTTGGTAGTACACGCCTTAAATCCCAGCACTCGGGAGGCAGAGGCAGAGGGAGGAGGAACTCCTTGAGTTAGAGGCCAGCCTGGTCTACAGAGCGAGTTCCAGGACAGGCTCCAAAGCAATACAGAGAAACCCTGCTGACCCCAGCCCCACAGAGTGTGTGTTCAATGTGGAGCTTAGACCCTCATTTTTTGATAAAAAAAAATGTCAGCATCCCCTCCCAAAACCACCTACCGACAACTACTAGAAATCCCACATTCATGAGGCTCACAAACTGGAAGTATTCACTCTTCATCTCCTGGGAAGGATACATAACTCTGCTATAGTCACACAATTGAGTATCGTAATGAAAACAAAATCTCTACAGTTATAAAATAGTACAGAGAAACCTACAAGCGAATGACAGGTGTGAGTTCTGCTATGCTGTTCTATTAGAGTGCAGAGAAAGAATGCCATCACTCTGAGATCAGCCTACGGGTTGTTTGGAGATAAAGAGTGGTTGGATCCTGGGTGATGCTCCTCCTGCTCGGTATACTGGTTCGATGGGTGTGTCTATGAGTGAAAACTCAGTGGGCTGTATGTTTATCTCTGTTTCTCCCTCCACCCCCCACAAGTTGAATATGCTAAATGTGAAATTCCAAATTCCAAATCAAAGCATTTTGAGGGCTGTCATGCCATGAGAGGAAAATTCAACTTCTGGCCTTGTGCAGTACACTGCACTAAATTACCTTCAGGCTATACAATGCACATGAATTTTGTATGAATTTTGTAATTAGACTTTCTTCATACACTTCACTATGAATGTGCAAATATTCCCCAGTTCAAAGCAATCTGAAATGCTAAAAGCATTTTTCAATAAAATATGTAAATCAATATTTTTTCCAGATTTTTAAAATTGATTATAACACTCAAAGGGCAAGTCTTGAGAGCAGGTATCCTCACCACACTAGTGTGGGTCTCTACCCAGGGCAGCCTCCCTTCTAAAACTGCAGCACTGCCCAACACCCAGTGTCCCTAAACCAACACCCAGTGTCTCCAAAGCAACACCCAGTGTTCCTAAACTAACAACCAGTGTCCCCAAACCAACACCCAGTGTCCCCAAACCAATACCCAATGTCCCTAAACCAACACCCAGTATCCCTAAACCAATAACCAGTGTCCCCAAACCAACACCCAGTGTCCCCAAACCAACACCCAGTGTCCCCAAACCAACACCCAGTGTCCCTAAACCAACATCCAGTGTCCCCAAACCAACATCCAGTGTCCCTAAACCAATACCTAGTGTCCCTAAACCAACACCCAGTGTCCCCAACCAACACCCAGTGTCGCTAAACCAACACCCAGTGTCCCTAAATCAATACCCAGTGTCCCCAAACCAATACCCAGTGTCCCCAAAGCAACACCCAGTGTCCCCAAAGCAACACCCAGTGTCCCCAAGCTACTTTTTCTGGTCCAGGAAGTCCTGGGAAAGGAGTGAGAAGGGCAGGAGAAGCATATATAGGAGAGGACCATGTGTCCTCAGAACCTTCCAAGTCATTTGCTTAGGAGGTTCATTACACACAGCTGAGTGACCGATTAGTTGAATTGCCAGCAACTGAAACAAGGAGAGCATTTTTAAAACCTAATAATGTTTGATATATTTGAGAAATAAAGCAGAATTATAGAAGGAGGTTAAGAGGGACACAGGTAATTTAATGTAAGCCTAACTAGAAGTCTTGTCTCCATATCCAGTCTGCAGCCCGTAAGTCACATGTGTAGTTGGTTCTTTTTTGACTCACTGGGGGCCCACCATCCAGCTCCAAATTAATCCATTGACACTTATTTAAGAATGCCTGACCCAGCTTGGCTTGTTTCTAGCCAGCTTTGCTAACTTAAATTAGCCTGTCTACCTTTTGCCTGTGGGCTTTTACCTATCTCTATTTCTGCATATCTTTTCTTTCCTTCTTGTCCTGTGGCTGGCGGTGGTACTGAGTGGCTGGCCCCTGGCGTCCTCCTTGCCTTCTTTTCTCATTTCTCCCCTTCTCGTTCAAGCCTAGATTTCTCCTCCTATTTATTCACTCTACTGCCAGCCCCACCTACTCCTCTCCTGCCTTACTATTGGCTGTTCAGCTCTTTATTAGACCAGTCAGGTTTTTTAGGCAGGCAAAGTAACACAGCTTCAAAGAGTTAAACAGATGCAACATTTAAAAAAATGCAACACATCTTTGCATTGTTAAACTAGTATTCCACAGCATAAAAGAATGTAACACATCTTAAGTATTCCACCATACACATGTACCCCAGGACAGTACTGAATATGGCCCAATATACTTAAAATATTGTGACTTTTTAATCTGTGTGTGTGTAACTCCATTGCTTAGTTCCTGAGTGTGAATCTTTGTCAGATGACAATGTTGTCACAATATCAAAAGGTAGGAACTTCTGAACCCAGCCAGTTTTTATTGTATGGTAAGCAACCTTAGAGCTTCTGTGGTGGACAAGTATTTGCCTTCTGACCAGGGGTCCCATGTCAGCATGACTTGGATGACTGGGTCACCCTGACTTCCAGGCTTGGGTCTAATGCAGGTATGTTTCATATAAAGTCATGTGCTCTCTGGTAAAGGGCAGCAGTAAGTACACTGGGGATTTTCTTTTCACGGTGGATGAAAGAACGCCTGTGCAAACATAATGAAGCCCCTACCCAGACCATAGCTATGATGCATCGTCATCATACTGGCCAAACTAAGGCCCCAGGTGAGAGGCAGGAAAGCACTCGACCTACCACAGAGCTAGGGGGTGGGGAGTGAGGACATCAGCAGTTATGCTCTATTCTATCAGACTTAATGTGTTTGACCTATGGAGTGTTGGCTGATAGCAAAAGGATCCCTGCATTAGTTAATGTCTCATAGGGCCCATGCTGGCCTTGACCTTGAACTCCTGTTGGTTATGCTCCACCTCCTGGGTTAGGAGTGTTAAAGGTATGCACCATCATACCCAGCTCAGTTGGTCTTTTCTCTGTAAATTTCATCCAGTTGAATTTCTATAAATCTATTTAATAAGATCTATTTATTAATGAGAAGCAATTTTTCAGAATTAAACTCATACTGAGTCTTGCATAAATACATACATTTGAGGAGCAGTAAGCATGGAAAATTCTTCACCCTCATACGCTTTTGTTCTTTCAAGGAGGCCAATGCATATGTGAAAATGATCCCTTTCCTTGTTCTTCTTTAGCCCACATGCTGCTGAAGATCATATTACCCATGACTCTCTGTGTCTTGCTCATCGTCATTGCGTGCTACTGGAAAAGCCAGTGGTAAGTTCAAAGGGAGCTTTTGGAGACAAACCATGAGAAATGGTACAGAATCATATGGGGAAAGAATAATGAAAAGAAAGGTTAAAGAAACGTAGGTGAGCATATGTAATGTAGTTGACAATTTTGACTTCTGGATCAGTAAACCGGGAAAAGAACCATTTCAAAGGTTGCTCCATGGCCATAGCTACTATTTATGCCACCTTATGCTTGGCAGATATCTGCATGCTTTATATAGAAAGAGCCATGGATTGCCTGCAACAATACTGTTGTTAGCTTCATGTATCATCCTACAACATGGACATTAAAGCAAGGGAAGTGTTATGTTTTTTGCTTCATAGATCCTTCAGAGCTTTGACTCCTAACCATTCCACTGAATTGTGCATTTGCTCTGAATTTCACTGTTCTGTTCTTCTAGGGTGAAGGAAAAATGCTATCCTGACATTCCAAATCCATACAAGAGCAGCATCCTGTCACTGATAAAATCCAAGGTAAATGTGGGGTGTTGTATGTGTAACACAGAAGAACTAATCCAGCTGGGCATGTTGGCACATGCATGCAATTCCTAACTTTGGGAGGTAAATGGTAAGAGGATCTTCACGAGTTTGAGGCAAGTCTGAGCTATATACTTAGTTCCAAGCCTTCCATGCTACATAGTGGGACTCTCTCTCAAAAACCCAAACAGTGAGTGTGTGAGTTTGGGGCTTCATTGAACAAGGTTTCTCATATCTCTTCAGGAAAAGATAATAAATTAAGAGGCACAAACACAGACAGGCAATTGGATAAACAGCTCAGTGGCAGAGTGCTGGCTTGCCTAACATGAGGAAGGCCCTGGTGTGGACAGACCAAACAAACATGATTGTGTCGTGCTCATTGTGGGCTACCAGAAAAGTCAGTGGGTGAGAAAGCCTTTATCCAACGGAGAGTCAGACACAAACTCTGGTGATAAAATGATCTGCTCTGTCCTGGTGAATCAGCTGGCTTTTGTCACAACCTTCAAGTTAACATGTGGCCAGGAAGGGATGGGAAGGAAGCTCTCAGTGCACACTACATACATGATACACTTGGATACTCCCACATATACATTTATATTACTTGTTTTATTCCTTTGCAGAAGAACCCCCACTTAATAATGAATGTCAAAGACTGCATTCCAGATGTCCTTGAAGTTATAAACAAGGTAGAAGGCCCCAAGACACAGTGCATAGTCTCTGGGAAACCACACAATGAAGATGTATCCATTAAGCCTCCCTCCTCAGTGCCAACAGAAGACGGTTCCTCTGGCCCTGTGCCCTTCATGTTCTTCGAGAATTTTACTTATGATCAGTCAGCTTTTGATTCTGGTTCCCATGGCCTCAATCCAGGACCCCTAAAAGACACTCCAGGTCAACTTGGACTATTGACTCCACCTGACAAGTTACTAAATGTTCTAGAAAAAGACTACATGAAGTCCCTGGCAGAAAGCCCGACTGAAGAAACTAGCTTGATTTATGTGTCTCAGCTGGCTTCACCCATGTGTGGAGACAAGGATAGTCTTGTCACAAATTCACCCAAGCCAGTGCACTGTTCAGGTTACAAAAGACAAATGGCAGTTCCGGGAAGACTCCCATCACTTGCTCTGAGTGAGAGTAACAGCCTGACCTCAATGATACTCTTGGGTCAAGGTGAACAGTAAAGTTAACCACCACCAACCCAGTTAATAGGCTACAGGCACTTTTGGGGATGTGGCTGGTACCATGCCATCACCATGTGCCCTGGTCCTTGACTCCAGCAGCACTAATTTATAAAAGATCATTACAGGCTGACAGAATAAAGACCAGAGCTATACAACTTGGCATTTACCCTGAAGGCTTCCTTAGAAATGGTGCATGCTGACCTTGCTAGTATTTGCTCCAAGCTCTTCCTAAATCAGTACCGGTGACCCTTACACAGGATACTCATCAGCGATTTCACAGACCCTATCTACTCAAGACTGCACAAAATGCCTGGGGCTCTAGGATTTCGGTTTGTAGGGAGAGAACATCGTCATGTAAACTTGACCTAATGTTTACTATTTTAAGGATAAAGCAACTGGATTAAATGTTTTAATGCCACAAGAGATTTATTACTCCAGTTGTGTACTTATCACATTTAATGGAAAGGTTACAAACTAGATTTTGGCCTTGCTTTGAAGTGAGAATAGGTAGTCATGGATAAAGTAAAGTAACTTTGTTGGTGCCTACACTGAACCTAACAGGTAAGACATACAAATGGGACAGCAAGTCTTCACAGGTCTCCCGCCATCCAACTTACTGTGGTAAAACAGGATCGCAAAGAATTCCAGACTTGGTGTGCAGGTGACAACTGTCTGTTCAGTAGACTCCAGTCTTCCTCCTTAATTTTTGACTACCTCAGAATAGGAAAAAGGACATTTTGTTGAGTGATTACTTTCACATTTAATGTCCCCAACCCAAGGCTGTATCTAAATGACCTATTTTCACATATTGACTGGTTCAAGAGAATTCTGTCTCATTTACATTCCTGTTATGCTATATAGCTGCAGTATTGGGTATAATTTAGCTCTAAATTTAAGATATTCTATGGAGTTAGAAGTTAGTTCAGTGTTGGCCCCAAATCATGTCTTGTCAGACAATACACTTGGTCGTCCCTGTGGCTTCTACATCAAGATCCAGACAACTCTAGGAAGAAAATATTCAGAAAAAAATGTCTGTACCAAACTCTCTGTATATAGAGTTTTCCTTGTTATTCCTTAAATGCAGTATTAACAACAACCATAGCACTTACATGCATCAGGCATTAGGCCACGGCACACAAAAATACCCACTGTATAAAAACATAATTTTTAGATAAGGCCTGGACTCCCATGGAGCTTGGTAGCAGCCTAGCTCCTGTAAACAATCTTAGGAATGTGTTATATGTAATAGCCAGACACCTACACGTTTTCAATACATTAGCTTCTTCCTCTTGATGCTTGTCACAATGTAAAATAAGATAAAGAGAGGTTCCTTTTGTCTTGTTTGCTGTGAATATGGTGGGAAAAATGACTTTGTGTACATGCATGGCAGTTACCAATACTGTAGCAATATCCATATGGCATGTGGCCTCAGAACATAGCTAACACCAACCGTGAATGTTCTGTTAAAGCTGTCCAATCTTTTCTTACCTATAACCATGCCTTTTGATAGAGAAAACGGTTCTGACCTAACCTAGTATACCAGACAGTATCCTGAACAGTCTAGATGGGAGATGACTTTGGTCAGTACTGCCAATACCATGTCTGCTTTTCTGTCAATGTATTTCTCACTGGAAATTTGTACCCAGAAATGTTAATGACATTGATTGTAAATGTTTTCTTTCATTTCCATTTTGTTTAAAAAATAATCCATAAAACATTAATTTTTGCTGTTTCGATAAAGCCCAAATTAAAACATTTCACAATCATTTCAACAGAATGAAATGAGCCAATAAATCACCTCATAAACTTAACAAAAATGTAAACTTCTAGGTACCCCTTCAACCTAAAAAGGGTTGCTTCAGCACTCACTCGGAATCCACACATTTCATCAGTCCTGAAGTGAATCACACACTTCAAGGCGCCTCTTCCCTCTTGTGGTCCCCTTCCTGTCCCTGTTACAGTCCTTACTCCAACAGCAACAGACTAAATCTAGACGTTAAGAGGAAAGTGATATTTTGCTACATCTGGCTTATTTCAGTACCATAATGATCTCCAGCTCCATCCATTTCCTGCAAATGTCTTATACTCTTTAGAACTGAATAAACCTCATTTTCTTTATTCATCTACTGATGGCTCCCTAGGCTGGTTCCTATCTTAGCTTTCGAACAGAGCAGCAATGAATATGGATATGCAAATACTGTGCTATGCTGATTTAAGAGTCCTTCGCCTGCACATGCATTAGTGGTGGAACTCAGTCATATGGCAGATCTATTTTAATTTAAGGAACCATAGTGGTTGTTATTTACACTTCCACCAGTTGTGCAAAAAGATTCTGTATCCTATTCATCTTTCTCCACATCCCCACCATGTTTTCCTTTTATTTTTAAATTTAAATTAGAAACAAGCTTGCTTCACACGTCAATCCTCCCCAAGCCCCCACCCAGTCCCCCCTCCACTCTCTAGGGAGGGTGAGGCCCTTCATGGAGGATCTCCAAAGCCTGTCATAACATCCCGTGCAGGGCCTAGACCCTCCCCCATGTGTCCAAGCTGAGACAGCATCCCTCCATATGGAATGGGCTCCCTAAGTTCATTTGGATGCCAGGGATAAATACCGATCTATTGCCCAAGGCCCCCAAAGAATGCAGAGACCTCCTCACTGACACCCACATTCAGGGGGTCTGGATCAGCTGAGAGGCTATCAGTCTGGGGTCCACGAGCTCCCCCTTGTTCAGGTCAGCTGTTTCTGTGGGCTTCACCAGCCCAGTCTTGACCCCTCTGCTCAACATTCTTCCCTCTGCAACTGGTTTCCAGGAGTTCCGTTCAGTGTTTAGCTGTGGGTGTCTGCCTCAGCTTCCATCAGACACTGGATGAAAGGACTAGGATGGTATACAAGATAGCTGTCAATCTCATTATCGGGGACGGGAATTTAAAGTAGCCTCTCCACTATTACTTAGACTGCCAGTTGGTGTCATCCTTGTAGATCTCTGGAAATCTCACTAGTGCCAGATCTCTCCTCAAACTTATAACGGCTCTATTATGGTGTCTCTCATCCTGCTCTCCTTTATTTTTCCAACTCAACCTTCCTGCACCTTCATGTCCTCCTCTCCTTCCTCTCTCTTTCTCCCAGTCCCCCCCCCACAATCCTCCAGCTCCCATTCCCCTCAGGAGATCCTGTCCTGTTCCCCTTCTCTGGGGGTACTACACATCTCTCTCTTAGAGTCCTCCCTGTTTCCCAGACTCTGGCAGTGGGATTGTAGGCTGGCACTCCCGTTTCATGCCTAAAATCCATATGTGAGTACATACCGTGTTTGTCTTTTTGTGACTGGGTTTCTGGCTTGAGCTGGAATCGCAAAGCATTTTAATTTGCCTTGCTCTGATGGCTAAGGTTGTACGTTTTTTTCAGACAATTTTTTCCTCTTCCAAAACTATCTACTCCGCTCATCAGCTCATTATTGACTTTTAGATGATTTACATTTTGAAGTTCCTTATATATTCTAGATATTAACCCCTAAGACTCCAGGAGAAAATTCTTAGATTTGACAAACACATTCAGCAAGTTGCAGGATACAAAATCAACATCTAAAAATCCAGCAGTGTTCTATATTCCAATGAGCCTGTAGAGAAAGAAATCAGAAAAAACCTCATCCGTGACTGTTTTTTATGGACACTGGTGTTTTGTCTGAATGCATGTCTGTGTGAGGGTGTCAGAGGCCCTGAAACTGGAGTTGTGAGCCACCATGTGGGTGCTGAGAATTGAACTCAGGACCTTGGAAGACCAGTTAGTGCCCTTAACTGCTGAGTCATCTCTCCAGCCCCCATAACTAACTTTTAAAAATCCTTAAAGAGAATCTGGGCGTTGGTGGGCACACCTTTAATCCCAGCAGAAGCAGGCGAATCTCTGTGAATTCGAGGCCAGCCTGGTCTACAGAGCGCATTCCAGGACAGTCTCCAAAACAATACAGAGAAACCCTGTCTCGAAAACAAGACAAAACAAAACAAAACAAAACACTCTTTAAAGACCTGTCATTATCCTGGATTAATAGAATGTTGTTTAAAAAAAAAAGGCTGTTAGTCAATGTGATTACATGTCCAATGGAATTCTCATCAAAATTCAAATAGCATTCTTCATAAAACCAGATAAAATAATCCTAACATTTGTAAGTAAGTAAAAAACACTGATTACCCAAAGCAATTCTTAGCTGGAGACATCACAATACCTGACCATAAACTATTTTATACTCCAGGCCATATAAACAAAAGCATATGATATGGGCACAAAGGAGACACAGAGTTTTGAGATACAGTGGAGGACTTGGAAACAAACCCACACAGCTACAGCTACCTAATATTTGACAAAGGTATAAAAAATACATGAAAAGACAGGCTCTTCAGTAAATGGTGCTGGGAAAACTGGCGTTTCACATCCTTAAGACTGAAATTAGGTCCAATCTCTTTCACTTTGTACAAAAATCAATCAATGGATCAAAACCCCCAGTGTTAGATCCCAAACTTTGAAACTGCTAGAACACAACGGCAAAACATGTCTAGACAGAGGTATCCGCAAGCACTTTCTGAAAAGGACTGACAGCAGAGACAATTCCAAGAACTGATAGATGAGATTACATGAGTTAAATGTTTCTGCACAGCAAAACAATCAGTAAACAGTATGCAGAGTGAGAGACAGGATTCCAGGAGCTCACCAGTCATAGCCAAATCATGTTCTAAGTTCATCAAGAGACCCTATCTCAGAAAAAAGGTGATTTAGATATTTGATCTTGGCCTCCACATGTAAAGAAGTTGTCCATGTACTCTGTGTGTGTGTGAAAGAGAGAGACATGGCTAATCTTATTTTCAAAGTGTGCATTTATAAGAACACCAAGTTGAATTAAACTTAAGGTTGAGGCTGTGAGCTGTTGGTTAAGCTTGCTTTGTCTCAAAGATACTGCATGGAGTGCTTCTAAAACCCTTAAAGATAAAATGGAGACGAAAAGTCCTGAGAATTAGCAAATAAGACCATGAGTTATCTCCAGTAAGGAAGACTAAGTGTATGAAGTTGGCCTAGGGCCACTAATAAGCACTAAGAAAAACCACATGTGGATCCTGGGAATTGAACCTGCATCCTCTGAAAAAAAGTCAGTGCTCTTAACCACTGAGCTATCTCTTCAGCCATTTGAATACTTTTATACGGTAAAGCTTTAAAAATAAAGACTGTCATTTTCTTATACTACTGTAAATTAGGCATATCTTTTACACTTCTGATAAAACACAGTATAAGGACATACATACAGGTGTCCACAGGCCTGGGACAAGTTTGCTTAAGGTGGGGAATATATTTTAGCAACTTTAACAGACCATGGCGTTCACACTGAATTCTCAGCTGGCTTCTCTGCTCAGGCCAGTGTGTGGTAACGAATGAGCATCACTCCTCTTGAATGTCATTTTTTTATGACCTCAGAAAGTCAAAAGTTGTTCTAACTAAAGCATTTCTCTTTCCAAATCCTTCACAATAATGATCTGAGATGAAAAAGTTTAGTACATCAGATTAAATTCTGAAGAATGCCACTGAAGTACAACTACTTTAAAATTGAGAGCAGCCTCTTTTCACGACACAAGATCATCCTCATTTGTAGGAGCAAAAAGCCAATTTCCTGGAAATTGCACTGTCAACATCAGTATCATGTGATTTAAGTCAAGGCCCAGTAACACACATTTTCAAATAAAGCAACAATGCCACAAGTTTAAGAATTTTAAGTACATTTTATTAACAATGAATCCCTTTGATAAGATTATGTTTCAGGAGGCTTTAATGCCCTTAACATAAACTGTACACATTATACAAAAACAATAAAACCACAACAACAACAAAATCAAGGTGAGCAAAACCATTTGGGAACAAATCTTATTTAAATTATACACAACTCAATGAAATATTCTTAAGGAAAATATATAAATACTTTTTCTTTCTATGTTACAGTTATACAATATAAATCAGATTTCAATGTCTGTTCAGTGACCTACAAACACCAGAACCTCCAAAAATGTAGCAGCGTATTACTAAATAAAAAAAGGTCATGTGGTCAGAGAGCATTGAGTCTGAGATTCTCTTTACGATCCCTTACCACTTTTCAAAGCTAATTTAATTTACATCATTTGTTTCACAATGCATTGTTAGGGTTTCTGACAGGCCAGTAATGAAACATTTTTCAACAATCATACATAAAAAATTTTCATCATTCCCTCTCTGCCCTAAGACTTTGCATTTTGTGCTAGACCAACCTAGTTACATGGGAAAATTGTAAGATATGCTTCCTTTTTGGCATATTTTCATATTAAGTATCTTACAGAGTCAAATGTGCAATCCATGCATCTGTGGCAGAGTTATCCACCTAACTATAAAAATACTCCAAAGGGGAGGAATCCCACATTCTGTGAGTCGTATAAATGTACTGGAAATGAAACCCCTCATGGGGAACTGTAATTAAAGAGAAAGGCCTCTGGAAAGCCCTGTGCAGACTGCTGTGCCCTTCTAAGTTCACTGGCATGCCTGAAGTGGGACTCAGTGTAGTGACACTCTCAAGGTTAAGATGGGACAGCAGACTCTGCCAGTACAGAGGGAACGGAGCTCTTTGCCAACCCACATTTAGGAAAATCTGAAATGTTCATTACAAGCAGCTTTTCTTAGAAGTCTCTCAAACAATTCTACTTTTCTTTCATGGATTGTGAATTTGAGACAAAATGGAAGCAAAAGTCTAAAGGAGGAAGGGAAAAAATCTTACTTCCAAAATACATTTCCCAAGTGGTCACGAATTCTTCTCACACAAAATTAGCACCTCACTCTTACCATACGAGAATAACTGCAATTATAATTTGAATGACAGACAATTTTGTTTCTTATTGCTTAATAATCTGTGCTTTGATATGGGGAATAAAAGGCATCCTCTGAAAGGAATGAAATAAAAATTTTATATAAATAGCAGTAGACAAATTAAATAAACAGTGACATCCCACTTTGAACACTCCACCATGGTGACATGGAATTCAGCTTTAACCATCTCATGCTCTGGACAAGAGTGGAATGCTGCTGAAGACACTGCTCGCAGTGACCTGTTACATCACCACAGCAACTGTGCATACACTTCCAACAGTCTTGTAATATCACTGTCTCAGGGATGTCTATTTGTTACTCTTTATTAGAAATACTACAGTCAGGGAGAACACTTTCCTCCTCCAATATACCCTAAGCACAAACAGAAAATAAACGGACAAGAAATTTTAGAGCCTATTTTCTTATAAATACTAAATTTCTCCTTATTTGTCAGTATTTACTTAGTATGCGAAGCTGAAATCTGTTCTTGAAAAAATTCAATTAGAAATGACAATTTACGATTAGAAATTCACAGTTTACAACCAGCTTAACTGTTCAAACTCCTCCAAATTATTAAATAATTACCAATAGTACAAATTTATGTGACTAAGATTAATTCTAAGCTTTTGAAAAACTACAGTATTGACATTATTTTGGTAATATCTATTTATAGATGATTTTTCAATGATTTCTATTACCATTGACATCATTCCTAACTTTTTCTGCTATAATTTAATAGTCATAAAACACCTACACTAATCACTTGGCACTGCATGTAGTTTTCATCATGAAAGTCTACTTTTATACAAGCACTTAAAGGAAATGTATTACACCTCCTGGTGAAACCATGGTTAAACCACATAGCACTATAAATTTAAGCATAGACAATTTCCTCCAATAGACTTATCATCACAAAGCTCCAATATCTTCCCAAAGTAAGTGCTATAGGCAGATATCACACACACACACACACACACACACACACACACACACACACACACACACACACACACACCTTTCAAAGTAACAGTCAAAAGTCAAAACAAAACAAACACCTGCTTAGGACACTAGGCATAGTCTTAATTTAGGGATGGCTGACTTAGGTGCGCAGGATGGGGAATAGTTTTGTGTGATGAAAAATAAAAATAGTTACTGTTAATTTTTGAGGGATGAAACCACAGATTTTATACTCTATGTTAACTGAGGTAGTGTTTAAAATGAATGTCTAAAATGTTAATCCCATTATGAGTAAGATTACATTCCTTCCTTTGGGATTGTAACCACATTTGGTCTAGTATCTCTGACATTTGGTTCTCTGGGAAGGCAGTTTTATTATCCAATACCAAAGACCAAGGTGATAGGCAATGTTCTTAGAAGTACTGTTGACATTTAAATAAACACTTGGGTTCAGTGATGAAGTTCAAAGTTTTACCCTCACTGGATTTTCTGAGTGAATGAGAAGAACCGTGTAAGCAGCAGCTTAGAGCCCTTGTCTGCTTTATTGTCATGGAAATTGCCACACAGTGCATGTAAGAACAATTTGCTGAAGTGCAGTCAGAGGAGTTAGGAGGGAGATGAAATGCTTCATCCTAGTGGGAGCTTTCAGTGCCAGTTAAAACAATCTCTGTGAGTTCTGTTTCCCAGGTCTCACAAACAAGCCCATTATGAAAAGGGTGTACAGCATGGGAAAACATGGACTGATGTATATGATGGTGTTCAAGCTGATGTGTAACTGTAAAAACAGGCCACACAAAGCAGTTACAAAACGGTAGTCAGTCCAGCTGGATGTTTTTGTTCTATACATATTATTCCAAGAAAAATAACCCTTTCACTCACAAGCATTCTAGTAATGATGTTCATGCTACCTTATGTACAAATTTGCATATTTCTTTAATTTCTGTAAAGATTTCCAAATATCTTTATACATACACAAATTAGACAGACAGACAAAACCCTGCCTTCATCAACTTCACACATGTGATAAAGGCAATGACTGTACTCTTCAACTCACCTACAACTGCAATTATTTTGTGCAAAACAAGAACACTAACAAAAATGACATTGCCACGGCTTTAAAATTTAGTAATTAAGGCTTTTCACCACAATTTTTAACCTTAATGAGTCTCAATAACTTTTTAAACACAAATATGGCTCTTCTTTTTTACATGGAATGTGTAAATTTTAGGCAAACTTGTCTTTTCTTTAAGAGACTGAAAGTATCACTTAATGCTTTCCTTTGCTTTGGATGCAGACTACCAATAACTTGCTCAGTCTGTTTAAAGTGGTGAGAGGAGCTCATGAGGATGGCAGTCCACTGTGTGTGTGTGTGTGTGTGTGTGTGTGTGTGTGTGTGTGTGTGTGTGTGTGTACTCGGACATGAGAAGCATTTCAATTGAACGATTCATTTTAATCAACAACTGTAGTGAAAACCCTTAATTGGTACAAATAACCTTTAACAACATATTGCAACAACCTGGAGAGATGGAAAACAAAAAAGCATCTTTAAGCAGTCTAACAACATAAAATAACATTATAGTTCCAATTGCTGAGGCTCTTCTTTTGCTCTGAGGTCAGAAACCTCTGAAGTAGTGTTACAAACATTAAGGAAATGTGGAAGGGCCAGCGAGCCCTGATACCAGCAGTTACAGCACAGCCTATGGGATAACAGGATGCCGCCTCAGAGACAGTGACTCCTGGTTCCCATGAATTAGCTAACAAACAAGGCGTCCTTTTGATTTACCCTAGTTAAAAGCATTCAGAAATAACTATGTGAAGGGTGCATCTTCATGTCCTGTTTCTGTTCCACTGTCATTATGCTTTTAAAATAAAAAAATAGAAAACCTATGTAGGCATTCAGTGCTTGGCTCTTGCATATGATGGTAACCGAATTAACGGTGGTAATGAATCACAGCCCCGAGAAGGGCCCAACAGGGAAGAGGAAGTTGGCTTAGTTAGGGATGACAGCAGTTGCAGCTGTTCTGTACCAATGACTGCTGGGACAGAAGATACTCCCGTCTCGCTGACAGCCAGTCAGTATTTCATGAGGCCTTTAGGAAATCCACAAGTATGGATAAATATATAGTATCTAGCTATAAACATCATAAATATGAGGTCAGGATTCGTCAGATTCATCAACTATAGGTTGTTTTGGTGGAATTGCCAACACAGCCTCTGCTTCTTCATGCATCTAGGAAAAAGTGGTAAATTGTTAATTTTTTAAAATAAAAGTGACATATAATGTAGATATACTCTTTCAACTTCTTCAAGTACAGAAGAATAATTCTGGGAGACAAATTTCAGAAATAGTCTACTTACTTGTAAAAATTGTACGTCCTGAAATAACTCTTGTATGAACCTCCGGCATGGAAGTCTAAATGTGCAGTGTGACAACAAATGAGAAACTTCAGAATAAAGGCATATGTCATCAAATGTTTGAGGATATTTCTCTTTAATTCTAAAATGAAAAGACAGATTATGCTGTGATAAAAATTATAACCATAATTAATTCATTTAACCCTTCAAAATGACACTTTCTGCTTTTTTTTTTTCAGATATTGACTGGATGGAATGTTAGAATTGATGGCTTAATAATATAAAAAGTAAGTCAGTCAGTTTGTCTGTCTCTTTTTTTTCTTTTTGCAACAGGGTTTCATGTAGCCCAGGCAAGCCTTGAATGTGATTCCATGTCCCTGACATCCCACATCTTCCTGCCTGTACCTCCCAAGTGCTGAGATTACGGACATATGCTGCCATATCTGGCTTATTACAAAGTACTTCTATTTCCCACTTCTTTTGAAAACCATTATTTTAAATAGTGCCAATAGAGATGATTTGCTCAAAATAATTTTTTTCATTTATCAGGCTGTTCTGAGTTAGAAGGGGCCCTGCTTTTAGATACAGTTTTTCATTTTTGCAGATTTGTTTGAAATTCTCGCTGGATTCTCACTTTCTCTTCAGTGTGCTCTCCAGACTAAGGTACTATCTTTGAGCCCCGCCCCACATACAGAAGGTAGCCTGTGACTACTGTTGTGCAACTCTAAGCAGTGCAGGTGTCTTTCTGTGACTAACAAAGCAGGATAAGTTGACAACCTTCACGCAGTTACTCACGTCAAAAGCCCTGTTTCATGACACTTGGTAGAAACAGAACTACTCAAATTGACGACTAATCTTAGCACTTCTTTACGAAGCAGGATACGGCACATTGGTGTATCATCTGGAATGGTTTTCACACCTGAAATGAAGGTGTCAGTGTGAGGTCACTTATCGTATCACAATGTACAAATGACTATGGTTCTTGGTATTTGTTTCCCAACTACAAAAGCAACTGAAATTGGAATCAACTGTACAAAATCTACTAGTGATTTAGGGGCAAAGCTCTAATAGAAGTAGACCATGGAGAGAGAATGGTCTGTGAATGGCTGGCATAGGTGAAATATTTAAGAGTCTGCTAAATGTCTAACACCGACCTGTCATAGCTCTGGGACAACTCTACAATACAGTACATATGCTGGCAGGCAAAACCAACTGAATACAGTTTTATTAAGGATGCAGAAACCGAACCTAAAGACTCACCCAGTAGCAGCTCTGTGCTTTTGGTGCTGCTGGCTGAGCCTTCTTGAGATGCACCATCGCTGCACCCAGAAATCCCCGAGAACTTAGAGGGAACCACTTCTAAGGGATTGTGGATCGTCTGCTCACACCAATCAGAATATGGAATATCTTGAAGGTCTGAAGGGAAAAGTATTTTGATTAGAGCTCATTCCTGTGCTAGGACTGCGCACTCTAAGAGAACTCCTTCTCTGTTCTCAACAGTTTCCTTTCATGAAGATTTTTAAAGTAAATCTAGACTGCTCAGATGATGAGAATTCAAACAAGGGAACCTGCTATATTCTAGAGTTGATTTTCCTAGTAAAAATGTAGGAATAAGTCATTAATTTTCAAGCAAATATTTATAAAAAGAACACATCTTATTATCTTCTATTCTCCCACCCTCTGAATGCCTCACCCAACAGTAAATGCAATTAAAAACATAATTATTTCAGACCTCTCCCATTTTTTTCTTCTTGTTCTTCTCTCCATGCACTCTGCCCATGATGGGATTTTGAAGTCAACCTAACATTAAATTCTAAACTAAAATGCTCTTTTGGTTTAAAAATGCCCTGGCCATGGACTACCTGCATGGTTCAATGGGTCAGAAGGGTGCTTGCTGCTAAGTCTTACTATCTGAATTTAACCCCAGAACCCACAGGGTGGAAACAGAAAAGCAACTCCATTCAGTTGTCCTCTGATCTTCAAGGTCCTATGGCACTTGCACAATGGCACACATGTGCATGCATGTACACAAACACATGAACAAAATGCAATAAATTAAAAATCCCTTGGTATTAAAATCAACGTTGAAAACAAATGTGAAAAAACTGTTGATTATCCTTTCACAACTAACACTGGACATCCTACAAAAATCACAAGCTTAGTACTATATAACACAGTGGAAGTTAGTCAAGCATTCATTCTGCTCATGAAAAGTGCAACTCAGAGAAGATAGACATTCAGTTAGAAAGTCAGACCTTCTAAAAGCTGTCCTGCTGTCCTGTCCTCATCACACCAATATGGAAGAAAAGAGGTTCAACGCCACCCAACCTTGGTTCCCAAAAAAGAAACTTTGCATTACTTTTTATTCCACCTCCAAACACTTCTCAGACTACTTCCATGTCTATTGTGCTGGATAGTTTTATGTCAACTTGACAAAAGCTAAGTTATCTGACAGAAGACAACTTCAATTTTTAAAAAGTGCCTCCATAAGACTGGGCTTAGGCCAGAACACCAATAGCACAGGAACTAAGATCAACAATAAATGGAAACTCATGAAACTGAAAAGCTCTGTAAGGCAAAGGACACCAGCAACAGGACATCCAAAATATAAAAAGAACTCAAGAAACTAGACATCAACAAACCAGATAATCCAATTTAAAAATGGCATACATATCTAAACAGAGAACTCGCAAATGGCCATGAAACACTTAAAGAATTTTTCAACATCCTTAGTCATCAGGAAAATGCAAATCAAAACAACTCTGAAATTCCATCTTACGTCTGTCAGAATGGCTAAGATCAGTAACACAAGCGCCTCATGCTGGCAAGGATGTAGAGCAAGGGGAACACTCCTCTCTTGTGGGTAGGAGTCTAAACTTGTACAGCCACTATGGAAATCACTATGGAGATTGCTCGGGAAATTGGGAATTGATCTACCTCAAGACCAGCTACACCACTCCTGGGCATATACCCAAAGGATGTTCCATCCTACCAAAAGTACATTTGCTCAACTATGTTCAGAGCAGCTTTATCTGTAATAGCCAGAAACTGGAAACCACCTACATGTCCCTCAACCAAAGAATTGATAAAATAAAATGTACATTTACAAAATGTTAAAAAAAAATCATGAACTTTGCAGGAAATCATTCTGACAAACATGGTATTACTCACTTACAAGTTACCATTAGCTGTAAAGTAGAGGATAAATGGCTTTCCCTGGGAAGGGATAGACTGAGGGCAGGTGGGGACAGTGGAGGGAGCGTACTGGGAGATGACTGGAATCGGGGCATTTCAGAGGTGGGGGAGAAACCTAGTACAAGGCAAACTCCTAGGTATCCATAAGGGTAACCCTGAAGACTCCTAGTAATGGGGGTCATGTAGTCTGAACTAGCCATCTCCTGTAACTAGGCAAGACTTCCAGCCAATAGTCTTTGAGGTACCGGTCCCTTCTGGACAGGGCCTCAGGTGCTACACGTAGACTGAGAGGATAGCTCTCTTGGTTGGTGATGGCAGATGGGATTTCAGTTTCCAAGGCTCTGGCAAGAGACCTTGGCTCTCTACCTTATTTGTTATTTGTGAGTAATTTACCAAACAGTATCTGACTTCCCTTTTGTGGACTCTATTACAATAATCTATTACAGAACTGGGATACCAAGCCAACCACGAACCTGCATATAAATCTGTCCTGCCTGCAAGATATGCTAAGGTAAAGGTGGTACAAATCTTGTGGGCATGGTCAACCAATGACTGGTCCAAATTGAGACCCATGCCTAAAGGGTGTCCAGGCCTGACACTACCAGAGTCAGGAACCAGAGTCTGGATAGTCCAGAGACCAAACATGATCGGGGGGGAATCAATAAAATGCTTCTTAATGATACTCACTATACTCATAGACCAGAGCCTAGTACAATAATCAGAAAGGCTTCATACAGCAACTTATGTGAGCAGATGCAGAGACCCACAGCCAAGCATTAGTCGGAGATTGGAAAACCTGCAAGAATGAGGAAGGATCGAAGGAGCCTAAGGGATTAAGACCATAAGAAAATCCACAGAATCAGTTAACCAGGGCTTATAAGGGTTCAGAGACTGAACCTATAATCAGGAAGCCTATATGGGTTTAACCTACATCTGCATAGATGTTCTGGTTGTGTAGCTTGGTCCTCTCTTGGGACTCCTAACAGTATGAGCAAGGGCCATCTCTATTTTTTTTTGCCTGCTTTTGTGACTCTTTCTTTTTCTACTGAGTTACCTTGTCTAGCCTTAATATAAGAGGGTGTGCCTAGTTTTATTAACTTGACATGCCATATTCAGTTGATATGCTTTGGAGGCCTGTTCTTTTCTGAAGCGAAAGGAAAAGTAGATGTAGGGTGTGTGGGGGGGGGAGGGGGAGGAATTGGGAGGGAGGAAGGGGAGGGAAGGAGAGAGGGGAGTAGGGAGGGAAGGAATAAAGCTTAATAAATCAAAAAGAAAAAAAACAAAGACTGAACTTAGGCAAGCCTTTGAGGTATTTTTCTTAATTAGTGACTGATGGGGAAGGGCTCTGTCCATTGTGGGTGGGCCCATCCCTGAGCTGGTGGTCCTGCACTCTATAAGAAAGCAAGCCATGAAGAACAAACCATAAGCAGCTCTCTTGAATGGCTTCTGCATCAACTCCTGCTCCATGTTCTTCCCATTTGAGTTCCTGTCCTGACATCCTTTGATGATGAACAATGTGAAGCGCTAGACAAGCAAACCATTCCCTACCCATGTTGCTTTTGGTCATGGTTTTGTTGTGCTCAAATTTGGAACCCCAAAATCACTAAAAGGCACATTTCGATGCAAAAGCAAAGAGTATCTTATTGAAGTTATTTATTAAGCTAAACCCATTAGCTTGGGTCCTTCATCCATCCACCATGGTGGATGGCTGGAGAAAGACCTCAAGAAACCACAAGCTGGAGATCTTAAGGGGGGCAGTGCAAGGCAGTCTAGGTGTATGAAACAGTCTCGGGATTGGTGCGCTTCCAGGTTTGGGTGACCCGCCCTGTGTTGATTGGTCAACTGGTTGTTATGGCCCATAGGCCCTCCCAGGGCAGTTGCTATGTTCTGCAGGTCACTGTTGTGCACTGTCCATAAATCACACCCAGAGCTGTAAAGCACAGCCCCACCAGCTAACTTCTGATTGGCTCCTTGCCACGAGGAGGGCATCTGACTTCCTAGTGACCAGGACAGGAGCAGCAAGGTCATGCAAACACATGGTAGCCTGTCATGGCTGCTAAAATGGGGGACTGGTCACTACAGTTTTCACATAGCAATGATAACCCTAAGACATTTGCTAAGCATCTAAAACATTCTACTTAAATTTTATAGTGATTTTAAAATTAAACTTACAAGGAAATATTTTGGAATCAAAGATATAACTGAAAGCAATGTTTTCATCAGTCACAATGGAAAAAAGTATATGTAAAATAAAGTACTATTTTACACTCACTTGAAGAGCTAACCTAGGGAATAATGGAAAGCACTTGTGAATAAATAATAGTAAGGGACACTTTCTCCAATCAACATGTTTCTGAAAAGTAATGAACTAATTTAGCACAGCCTTACCTTCAACCAGTGACAATTCCTAACCCTAACTTGTCAGAACTGTCCCCCATCTTTAAAGATTTCAGTGAATTTCATTAAGCATTCATTCCTCTAGGTAACCAAGGTTTAAAATAATGAATTGCTTTCTAAGTCTGTAAAGTGCTCTGACTCTGTAGGATGCCACTTGTGAAATGTGCTGAATCATGGAGATAATGTTTTAAACAAGATCATGACCGCTGTTAACTAAAAGCTTCAGACAATATAGGCACTTTTTTTTTTTTAAATCAGCAAGACAGAGAACTAAACATTCTTGGAAAAGGAGAAAGGAACAAGTAGATTATTCTCGATTTTTCTTGTAGATGAAAGCTGTGTGCATTGGTAAGAGGAATACAGTTAGATCACCATCACCCACTATCAGAATTTGTGAGCATATTCTATACTAAACAACTTTTATGTAAGTTACTGTTCACAGAATATTTATTGATTCCCATCCTGGCTAAATATACTATAAGCTATTCTCATTCAGAGGTTTAAACCAGAACATAAGCTAACGTGTAGATATTAAGTACTAAGTACAGATAGTAAGTCCAAGAGTATTCTGTTTCCTTTTCTGAGAATATAATTTTATCATTTTCTCCTTTCCTCCTTCCAAACCCTTGCATATATCCCTCCCCACTCTGCTTGAAACTGATGACCTCTTTTTTTTCATTATTATTATATGCATACCTCTAACTGCTCAGTCTATACAATGTTATTTGTATGTACACATGTCAGGACTGGTCATTTGTTATTAGCTAACAACCCATCTGTTTGTTCTCCCTGATTCTGATCTTGTAGTTCTTTGTGCAGGGTTGAGGCCTCACAAGTTTTCTCTGTCCAACAAGGACAATAGCCCAGTTTTTGTACCAGCCTTCCTGGTACTTGAAGCCCAGGCCTCTGCTGTTTACACCTGTGCTCTTGTTGTCTGGCTGTCCTGGACTTCTTGGCATTTCCTCATCCACTGTAACTTTGGGAAGGTCAAGTGGACAGAGCTCTGCTTCATGACTCCCTCAACACCCCCATTCACACAGCAGTAGTCTTCTAACATTTAAAGCATTTAGTTCTGAGATCAAAATAATTTAGAAACCATCTCAGTCTCTTGGCTCCTCTGTCCTTGAGTTGCAGTCTTAGGTACTCCACCAGTTTGATTTAGAAACTGGTCCTCCTCCCAGTGCTTTTTTGTTGTTTATTGAGACTGTTTCTCTGTGCATCCCTGCCTGTGTACATGTACCACATGTTCTCTATCCATTCATTTATCAATTATGTGCAGTTCACTAGGGATGGCGTGTCTTCTACATACTGATTTCACTTCCTTTATCTCTCTAAAGTAATGGGATTCGATTGCTGGGTCATATAGCTTGTATCATTTTGTTTCTCTGGTAATCTTCCTTACTGCTTTCTTCAGTAGATGTAGTAATTCACATTCCAACCAACAATGTGCAAGGATTTCCTTTTCTTCCTGATACCATTTGGCATTTTGAAAAGTATTCTTGCTTTTGTAAGTTGGTAGCTCATGGTGACTTTGATTTGCATTTGACCACTTTTATGTCCTAGGGAGTATTTTTAAGTCTGTTGCAACTTTTATTCCTATATTCTGTATATTAATTTTTCTTTTTCAGACAAGGTTTCTCTGTGCATCTCTGGCTGTCCTGGAACTCACTCTGTAGACCAAGCTGGTCTGGAACTCATAGAAATTTGCCTGTCTCTGCCTCTCAATTGCTGGGATTAAAGGCATTCGCCATTACACCCAGCTTGTATATTAGGTTCTTACTAGACATATAGTTTGCAAGCATTTGCTCAGTTTCTGTATGTTCTCTCATTCATTTCTTTTTCTCTGTAAAAATGGTTTGGACATTCTAATTTTTGTTTTTTATAAGGATATTTTTTTAAGGGTATGTAGTGGGTGGCAGGTGGGATTCCAGAAAAATCCTCACTCATCTGAAAACTCAGTTCCTCAGCTCACTTTCACTTTCAGACTCACACTAAAGGGCTCTGCCAAGCTGACCTTTATTCAGAGTGAAAGATATCTCACCTCATTTATCTCTAGGAGGATATCCAGCTTTTCCTTTAACAAAGATATTGTCCTCTCGAGGGGCATTGGTGGTGCATGCCCTTAATCCCAGCACTCAGGAGACAGAGGCAGGCGGATCTCTGTGAGTTTGAGGCCAGCATGGACTACAAAGCGGAGTGCCAGGATAGGCTCCAAAGCTATACAGAGAAACCCTGTCTCGGGAAAAAAAAATATGTATGTATGTATGTATTGTCATACTCCTGGCTGGATGTCTCAGCACTGTCATCTGGCATAGTTCACAAGTTGGAAAGTTATGAAGTCCTATGGAGAACTTCACAAGAACTATCCAGAGAACTCTGGTCATCACTAGACTCCTGAGTGATATTCACCAAGAAAAGGTACATATACGACACTTTAAGCACTAATTGAAACTGTTAATATATACACCTACTGATTCATATTAAGAAACTGACACTGGTGTCCACTTTTTTTAAATCTCTCTCTAATAAATGTATACTGAGAACCCACTATTCAAGGCAGCAGCTGCTATCAGAGACAGAAAAATGAAGAGACAACAGATCACGCTCTGAAGGAAGTCACAGGGTAGGGCTAGAGTAATAACCAGTGAACAACGGCAGTGAGAGCAGAGAGGGAAGAGCTTCCACGCCTGACTTAGGAATCAGGACACTTCTCAGACATGAGACTTAGGATGAGGCAGATCTTCCAGAGAGATGTGTGTTTATGTCAGAGCATGGACGTGTGGGGGGACAGGAAAAGATAAGGAGAGAGAAGCAAGGAAAATATAGTTTTCATTTCCAGTAACTGTTGGAAACGTCATGTAGTCAGGTGCATGGTTTACCAACTATAAGAAATGAGAATGATGAACACGACAGAACACAGAGCACAAAGACTCTTATGTGTTGGGCTACAGAGTAAAATCAGATTTTACTCTGATTTTTACAGAGAAAATCAGATTAATCTCAATAATATATTAAAAGATAAAGTAGAGAGAATCAAAATTAGAGGCTAAAATCCTAACAGTGTAATAGGAGGCTGCAAAAGGGCTAAACTGTGTCTGAGGTCGAGATAGAGTAAGAAAGCCTCTTGTCAGGAGGGCTGCTGGACAGCTTGTGACTGGAGCAGATTCGTCATCCTATCACCCACCTGAGTGACTACATATGGAACTTAGCTGGTTACTGGGCTGGAAGCCCAGAATTTCGATGCAGACACAGTAAAGGCAATTGTCATCTGTGTGCTCCTGTAGTCCAGTGTCTTCTGTGCTCTCTAAAAACAGAGAGGCGTCTGAATGGACAGAGTTCATTATTTCCGTGAGACTCATCTGCTGCCGTAGCAAGTGAAAAGAGTTTTTTACAAGACCGCCGGTTCCAGATGGAAGACCTGTATGTTTAAGTAAATAAAAATACAATCTGATAAAGATACCATTGGTATCTTTCTCATGATGTCTTAAAATAATACTTTTTTAAGATGAAAATTTAGAACTCTCTATGCCCCAACATTTAATTTTATTTAGGAAGGAAAGAGAATAATTTGTTTTAAATTGTAAACATAAAAACAGACAGCACATATACCTTTATTATTTCAATAATGTGTTTTTCTAAATAAAAAAAAATCAGGTTATATGAACGACCATTTCAATTAACTCTGATTTAACTGCCTAAACAAAATCAGTACTTCTGAAAAGTATATGTTGAAACAAGATTATAAAACTATTAATATGGTTCATATATACACATTCACTAAAATGTAACAGTTCATAGCACACAATAACATGTGTAAAAACTAAGCAAATTCCCATCTTCCTTCACTGTAAACAAATAGCTATGCCTCTGACCCATGAACTAGTTTTAACATTACTCTTGCACTTTAAGAAAGAACTATTCTGGGTTTTATCAACTTGAGAGGCTAGGATCCTTGCTGGAAAAACAACTGCACTTTAATTTTAAGTTGATTGAATTATTTTGGTTTAGTGTTTAAATGTTGGTTTAGTGTTTAACCCCAAAATTTAGTAAGCCTAATTTTTATTGTTTCCTCACTAAATTTCATTTTTAAGGTAAGAAATCGCACGAGAACAAAGAATACATTACCTCCTGAATCTTGGGAAAACATTTTTGTACCTCGGTCATCTGGTGGAGGCAAGTACTTTGACTGAAAATAAGGAATCTCCTTTACCTAAAATGCATACGAAACATGGTCAGCGTCATCATACAAAGAAATTCATCTTAAGAACATTAAGGGAATTCAGGGAAATGCAACAAATAGAATTACTGTAGCATAAATCTATAAGGTAAAGTTTATTTATTAAACATGCTGGGTGTGGCCATGTGTACATCGCTTGTGAATCTAAGCTGTGAAGGGATGGCCACCTGAGCTCCAAATTCAATGAGCAATCCTATTGTGGTGATATTGTGTTTATGATCAAATAAAGCTTTCCTGATAATCAGAGTGTAAAGTTAGCCAGAAGCCAGGTAACGGTGGTATACACCTTTAATCCCAGCAGACACACTAGTTAGGCAAAGAGGCAAGGCTGCTCTGGGCGTGAAAAAAATCAATGACTAAAAAGACAGTAAGTTACATGAATCTAAAAGACTGTTAGGAATTTATTAATTACAGATAAATCAAACAAGATGCTAATTTATTACAGTTGGACAAGGTTAACATTCCAGAGAATGGATACTTAACAAGATTCTTACTCATAAGAGTTGAGTAAACGTACACAACAGCTAAGAATGTAAGATTCTCAAAAACCTTTATTTTTCCCATAGTAAGTGTATCCACTATAAACTAAGGTTCTAATAAGCAGTCACAGAACAACAACAACAAAAAACCTAGCAGGAAGCCAGTTGTAGGAAAACAGTGGTACTCTGGATGTTACCTGGAATATATCATTGATGTCCACTGGAAGGGCAAGTCCAATGTAGTCATCAGAACCTCCATATGTAGCACTGGATACCATGGACCTAACTGAGGAAGATCGCTGCAGGGTATTTTGATTAATAGGACTTAATAAATCTTCTTTATCTAATGATGCGTAACTTAAAGCTTTCATAAACCTGGAACATCACAAAAAACCTTGAATTAGTTTGATTTGCATTATTAAGTATATTAAAAACAAACAAGTATACAAACAAAACCCCCTAATCTTATACCACCATCAAAGTAGCTAGTCAAACACAAAGCAGTACCCATCTTAGTCTGCTGGAAACACATAAGCACTTTAACATTAGCTGCTATTGGCCAATACACAGGTTACCAGTAATGTTAAAGTCACCAAAAGAACAACTGTTATGTTCTCCCAGGTGAAGATGAGAAGGTGCGTAATGAGAGCAACATCAATATGCAGAAGTAATAAAGGAAACTAACCTACAGACAAGTACAGCTCAAAGACTACCCGTGCAGTCAGCAGAGGCTGTTGGACTTGCTATACTGCTAAAGGTGTATCTATTAACACCAAGTAATTTACTTATGAAAAATGAGATTAGTCATCAATCTTCTGGGCTAATTAATGCTTTCTTATCACATAAGATCTGTATAACATAGAAGGTACACATACCATAATAAATATTACAAGGATATCATTTGTAAATATTACAGGGGATATCTCACAGAACACTAGTCTTGCTTTATAGGACACTCTTCACAAATGATTGCCTAACCATGGTATGTGGACATCTCTATAAGATGCACTTCTGTCATACAGATCACTATTCATGCAATAGACACTGTTCACTCTGTATATGCTTTGTCAAATATATGAAACAGTATTCAAAGTCTCACATTACTAACTAGAAAACCAAGTCTTATAAAGTGAAAAATATAAATCAAAGGATTATTTCACATAAACACAAAAAAGAAATGTGCTTTAAATAGTAGATTCTAAGGTTATAGCAGCAAAAACAATTCCTAAGTTCCAAAAGAGTATTCATATCTGAAATTTATGAACTGTATGAAAGAAGTCAATGTTTTTCAAATGGTGTGTTCTTGTTTCTTTGATTCTAGTAAACTCCCTAAAGACTATATGAGTTGGAGGGATTATGGGGGTATTTCACTTTTCAATTCTATTTTAATCAGCTGCAGTTCCATTTTAAACTGTCTTATTTATAGGTTTTTTTTTTTGTGGAAAACCTTCAAGAAGAAAAAGTTTGTTTCTGCTTAGAAAGTAACATTTTAAGAGTTTACAAGCACTCATCTAGCCTAGTCTCTGCCAGACAACTCATAAGCTCTGTTTCTTCGCTGGAGCTCTACACCCATGGCTTATTGACAGGCATGTGGTTCTGTTATGGATTCACAGAGATGCCAGAGATAGTGATTTCTAGTTACACCAACTGTTACTGTACCATTTTATGAGAGGGAACAAAATTTACTATCTGCTATCAGCACCTTCTTTATAAAATATTCCACTAAAAATCAGATGTGAGAGACTGATAGATTATATAAACAACTCCCAGTTCTGATAGTGAGAATATCCTGTAAGCTAATGTTTACTTTTTACCAGATACTAGTCTAATTACTTGACACCTAGTAATCGATTTAAAAGGATATGAATCGCCCATTTCCGGGCCGCTTGCCTGTGCTTGGGGACTGCCACTGCAGCTTCCATCCCAGCTGCTTCCATCCCAGCAGCAGGAGCCAACGCACCCCAGCATCCTAGTCTCCTTCTCCACCACTTGACTAAGACTATCAGTACCTGTCTCCAGGCCACACTCCTGTGCCTGGGGTCTACCACTGGGGCTCCCATCCATCCCAGTGGGATTCAAAGCACCCCAGCATCCTAGTCCATTTCTCCACCCACGAGACCAGGAAGTGGAGAGCTACCAGAACAGTGGACTTGCCTACACCCACCAGAAGGGAACCCTGGTCCCACACACACCAGGAGAGGAAGAGGAAGCATCTGAAACCCACTGCAAGAACGGATGGGAAGGAGACAATATAAAAACATAAGGAGCAACAGAAAAACCAATATGACACTGCCAGAGTCTAGAGACCCTACACCAACAAGACTAGAACACCCCAACACAAATGAACCAAAAGAGAATGACATTAAAAACAACTTCATGAAAATGATAGATGCCCTCAAAGAGGACAGGAGAAAATCCCTAAAAGAAATGGAAGAAAAAACAATCCAAAAAAACTGCAAGAAATGGAAGAAAGACAAAGCAAAAAATGCAAGAAACAATTCAAACAGTGCATGGGCTGAAATCTGAAATAGAAACAATAAAAATAAAAATACAGTCTGAAGGGATGCTGGAAATAGAAAAGCTGGGAAAACGGTCAGGTATTACAGATGCAAGCAAAACCAACAGAATACAAGAGATGGAAGATAGAATCTCAGGTGTTGAAGATATACTAGGAGAATTAGATTCATCGACCAAAGATGAATCCCTAACACAAGTATCCAGGAAATATGGGACACCGTGAAAAAACCAAACTTAAGAATAATAGGTATAGAAAAAGGTGAAGAAATACACCTCAAGGGGGCAGAAAACATATTCAACAAAATCATAGAAGAAAACTTTGCCAACCTAAAGAAAGACATGTCAATGAAGGAGCAAGAAGCTTACAGAATAGCCAATAGAGTGGACCAAAAAAAAAAAAAAAAAAAGAAAGAAAACATCCCCTTGATACATAATAATCAAGATCCAAAAACATACAGAATAAAGAAAGAATATTAAGAGCAGCTAGGGAAAAAGGCCAAGTAACATATGAAGGCAAACCTATCAGAATTACACCTGACTTCTCCGCGGAAACTATGAAAGCAAGAAGGTCCTGGATACTCTACCAACGTTAAGAGACCACGGATGCCAGCCAAGACTACTATACCCAGCAAAGCTTTCAATCAATATAGAGGGGGAAAACAAGATATTTCATGACAAAACCAGATGTAAACAATACATATCCACTAACCCAGTCCTACAGAAAATTCTGGAAGGAATTCACCAAACCAAGGAAGTTAACTACAACCAGAAAAACATATGCAATAGATAATCCCAGTTTACTAACAGGCAAAAGAAAAAATGGTGGAAATCTACATACAATTCCACCACCAACAACCATTCCAAAACAAACGAGAATGAGCTATCAATGGTCATTAATTTCCCTCAATATTAATGGTTTCAACTCGCCCATAAAAAGACACAGGTTAATAGAATCTATCTTTCTGCTGCATACAAGAAACACACCTCAGTTTCAAAGACAGACATTATTTCATTGTTAAGGGTTGGGAAAAGATTTTCCAATCAAATGGACCCGAGAAACGAGTGTGGGTAGCAATCCTAATATCTAACAAATTAGACTTTAAACTAAAATCGATCAAAAGAGATGAAGGAGGTCACTTCATACTCATCACAGGAGAAATCCACCAAGATGAAGTCTCAATTGTGAACATCTATGCTCCAAATTCAAAGCCATCTACGTTCGTAAAAGAAACATTGCTAAACTCAAAGCACATATAAAACCTCACAATACTTGTAGTGGGAGACTTCAACACCCCATTCTCACCAGTAGACAGGACCACAAAACAGAAACTTAAAAGGATACAAAGGACCCAATAGAAGTTATAACCCAACTGGGTTTAACAGACATCTATACACAAAAGAATATACCTTCTTTTCAGCTCCACACGGAACCTTCTCAAAAATCGACCACATACTTGGCAACATAGCAAACCTCAATAGGTACAAAAAAATTGGAATAACTCCATGAATCATATCAGACCACCATGCCTTAAAGTTAGAATTCTACAACAACACCAATCACAGAAATAACTCCATGAATCATATCAGACCATCATGCCTTAAAGTTAGAATTCAACAACAACACAAATCACAGAAACCCTACAATCTCATGGAAATTGAATAATGAACAACTGCACCACTCCTGGGTCAAAGAAGAAATAAAAAAAAGGAATTAAAGACTTCTTGAATTCAATGAGAATGAAGATACAACATACCCAAACTTATGGGACACTTTGAAAGCAGTGCTAAGAGGAAAGTTCATAGCACTAAGTGCCCACATGAAGAAACTGGAGAATAGTCACACTAGAGAATTAACAGCACAACTGAAAGCTCTAGAACAAAAGGAAAAAAAAAAACAATGGAATCTTGAAATTTGCAGGCAAATGGATGGCACTAGAAGAAACCATCCTGAATGAGGTAACCCAGTCACCAAAAGACAAACATGGTATGTACTCTCTCATATATGGATTTTAGAATGCATCAGGGGAATGTAAGCCTACAATCCCAGTGCCAGTGAGTCTGGGAAACAGGGATACCCCAGAGAAGTGGAATGAGCCAAAATCTCCTGAGCAGATTGGGAACATTGGGGCAGGGGAGAGGGAACCAGGAAAAAGAGAGGGTGATAAGAGGAGGAGAGAAGAAGGCATGGAGGAGTAGGAAGGCTGAGTCGAGATAAGAATAGAGGAGAACAGGATGAGAGATACCATAATAGGTGGAGTCATTATAGGTTTGAGGAGAGAGCTGACATTAGTGAGATTTCCAGAGATCTACAAGGATAACACCAACTGGCAAACTAAGCAATAGTGGAGAGATTACATTAATAGCCCCTCCCTGATGATAAGTTTGGTGACTACCTTATATGCCATCCTAGAACCTTCATCCAGTGACTGATGGAAGCAGAGACAGATACCCACAGCTAAACACTGAACTGAACTCCAGGAACCCAATGACAGAGATGGAGGAGTGATGAGCAAAGGGGTCAAGACCATGATGGTGAAACCCAAAAAGACAGCTGACTGGATAAGTGGGAGCTCTTGAATCCCAGACTGATGGCTGAGAGGCCAACAGGGGACTGATCCAGACTCCATGAATATAGTGCCAGTGAGGAGGCCACAGAAATCACTGGGGCCTTGGGTAGTACATCAATGTTTACCATGGTGTATGAATGATCTTTGGGAGCCCATTCCACATAGAGGGATGCTCTCTTAGCCTGGACACATGGGGAAGGGCCTAGGTCCTGCCCAGGATAAAATGACAGACTCTGGAGATCCCCTCAAGGAGGGCCTCACCCTCCCTGGGGAATGATATGGGGATTGGGTGGGGGGCTGGTGGAGGGACGAGGGAGGAGGGGTGAGAAAGGAAGCTGGGATTGACATGTGAAGCATTCATGTTTCTAATTTAAATAAAAACATATATTGAGGATAAAAAGGTATATGAAACATTTTAATGAATATAATTCAACTATGCGAAGTCCAACAACAAAAACAATGTAAGTGGGGAACTTCTGTAAATTTCAAAGTGTATCATTAAAAAAAATACTTTATAGAGGCCTATGTCCAATGGCTGCAAACAGCAGCCTCCTTGATAGCACATTTTCCTGCTGCCTGCGTGGGTTGCCCCATGACACAGTGGCCAGGGATCACATTAGCCAGGTCATTGTGTCCACCTGCAATAAGTTTCAGAATAAGAACATGTAATTAAGGACAAGTTCAGTGAGCTCTAGAAGACCAGCATCTCAATGATGTGGGACTTTACCAAGATTAATGCCGATGAATTTGAAAGCATGATAGTTGAGAACCAGTTCATCCCTGGTTATGGGGTCAAATACATCCCCAATCATGGTCACCTAGACATGTGAAAGGGTAAACTAAACTCAAAGGCTTCATTCACTTCTAATAAGTTAGAAATAAAGCGACTAGACCCTCGGTCAACCCCCTGCTTTAGCAGTAATTACAGGCTACAGGAAAGACACATAGGCCTCTGACACAAGGAAACTCCAGATCCTTTGGCCTCCCAGAGCCTAGGGCCAAAACTGAACACAAAGAAACTCCAGATCCCTGCCCCAGCCTCCTAGATGATTGGTTCCTGGGAACTGTTTGGCCACAAAAGAAATTCCAGGGGAGACCAAAACCTTCCTGTAGTCTCCAAGATATGGTTATGAAAACTATTGGTATCTATGTACAACACAGGCCACCTGCAAGTAACTAGACAATGCAATAGAAACCACAGAATGTTCCGTCTCAGCACTGACCAATGAAAATAAGTGGTACACAGGTATTTCATGCCAAAATATGACTTTGAGAAATTCTCTTGATTGTTCCCAAATGTCAACCAATCATAAACCAACCCATACCTACTGATGTAATCCTGTAACTTTTGTCTTTAAAACCTAGCAGTAGACAGGGAACTTCACTCCCTCTGGAGGGCTGCTGTGACAGCTAGCCAGACAGGGTCCCTGTCATGGTTGAATGAACAATTAAAACCTTGCATTTGCAGTTTGGTTGGTCTGTCTTCCTGGTGATCTCTGGAGATCTTTGCAACTTGGGCACAACAGTGGGAGACCCTGCAGTCCTGATGGCTTCCATTGTGCTTTCCTACACCCCCACCAAATCATGGTCAGTAATAAATCTCACATCCAGTCAAAAAATGAAAAAAAAAAACCTAAACTGCATACTGTTAATACCTTGATATGATCTAAACATGGAATATTTAATATATAGAAACTTTTGATTAGTATTGAGGAGCCAGGAATTCATTTTTGTGTTTATTAGGTTTCTATTTAATAATGACATGTACTTAAAGCAAATTAAAATTTAACTGAAATTTTCAGTTATTTTAAAAAATATTAAGAGGTCAACTTTTGGAGCTTTAAATTGACCTACCTGAAAAGGTTGTTTGTTATTGTAGGTCTTAAGCTCCTGATTCCCCCGACATGCTTCTTTTTAAAATCGATCCTTACAGAAGCGAGAAATAAATTAAAAAAAAGCTTGTGACTTGTGTAACCTTGCAAAACAAGTTTATTTTCAGGGCCTAACGGAGTTTATTTTCCCCCCTTGCAGCTGCAAGAATCCATTTCAAATCATATCAGGTAACAAGGAGCTCAAAGCCTAATGTGGTAAATGGGTCAGTTCTGAGACTTGGCCTCTGTGGTGATCAAGCTGACTAATGTCTTATGTTTCTATCTGTTAAAAGTCAACCACTTTCACTTATTTCTAAGCATGTATTGCTCACCTGCTTGGTGTCAGTCTTGACTCAAAACTGTTGGCCTTCATGGTGATCGTATCAGTAAACAGTACGTCTTTTGCTGGGGATGCCAAAGCTTCGGAGTGTGATAAGGATGGGTGCATTCTTTGCTGTTGTAATCTTTTCAATGTAGCATAGCCAAAGGCATCTCTGGAACTTGTGTAGCTAAAGTTGCAATCTGCTAGACTTTTTATTGTTGCAATGGAGGGCGCTTTAAGGGACTGTGCTCTTCTAGGAAGTGTATGAGAAGAACCTGGTGGCACCAGGGACACTGAATTCGATTTGGAGAGAGACAGATGGTTAGACTGTGGTGTCAAATAGTTGCTTGTCTTAACAGTTTTAGTACTTACCACAGTACTCATACTTCCACAGTCTGTGTCCATAGTTGTAGGGTCTGTACCAACTGTCTCTCGAGAGGGACTTGAGCTCATTGAACTTATGCCACTTGTTGTAGTGTCTGTGTTGAAGCTTTGGCTGCGGATCTTCATATGTGAGCTTGTTGAACTTTCTACAACCAACTTCTCCCGGCTTGTGTTTTCTCTGTGATTCTCTGTACCAAAGCTCTTGGGGAATTTCAAGTCATTCTCTCCAATACTTGGAGTGCTGCCAGTGTCTTCAAGGTGCTTATTCCCAACAAAGGAAGTTTCTAGCTGTAATGTTTTCTGTGCTGTGGAGATGTGTGTAAAGTCATCACTGTGATTAAAGTCAACACTGGGCTCTGTAAGTGTTCTGATTCGCCGGTTGCTTGTCTTATTTTCAGACGACAGTTTTCCTCCTTTTGGATCACTGCTACTACGGTGCTTTTTATTAGGCAAAGTAAGTGAATTTAAGATACGATTCTTTACAAGTTTGCTAGAGGCAAAAAAAGGAAATGAATTTTTATCCTTTATGGGTCCAGGTCGGTCATAAAATGCTGGCTCTGCATCTTCATTGATGTCAAGGAAAAATGTACTGGTGGAGCTGCTGCCGAACCGGTCATCCTCCAGTATGAACATGCCTGTAATTGGAGAACCCGCTGTCAGAGTATGCAAACGTGAAGAAAGAGTTCATCACAGTGCTCAGTGCTATCCCACCTTTAAGCAGTCTTCTGGGGGACAGTTAAGAAATAAAAGTGTCCCCCTAAAGATCAGATTTAGGGTATGAATAAAATACAAGATTGTTGTCATGTGAGGATCTGTCATTTCTAAAGAAAAACTTCAGGCTTATTCTAGTATAACATATGTTAAAGTTTCTTTTGATTTTTCCAAATATTCTGGATAAAATTAAAGAGAAAGCAGAAGACATCTACCCTTTGAGCATACTCATTCTGTTAGCACAGAATGGGATGGTTTCTTTTTTCACATCACCGTGGCAGGACATATTCATCTTAGAAACAAACTCCTAAACTTAAAATATACTGCAGCCTTCTATGTCAATGAACTGTGCATGTATGAGTTCAACTAAATATATTCATAGAAAGGTGCTTAAATTAAATATGTACATATATTTTTCTTGCTTTTATTCTTTAAGAATAAAATTTACCATTAAGTGTCTAGATTAGGTGTTAAATGATCTTAAGATATAAAGTATTTGGAAGATTTGTATATACGTTAAAGGATTTTAGCATCTGGATTTGGGTACAGAGTGGAAGTATGAGATCTCACATAGGTATGAAAGGATAACCACACTTACAGATGACAAAGACATACATGTGAGCTTTGCATTTAAACCAATTACGTTTACTGTCCATGTACTAAGAAACTCACCAAACTTAGTGTCTAACTGTAATACTTCAGTTATCTCAGGTGTCTAACGGTGCCAATAAGATTTATTCTATTTGTAACTGTTCTATTAAGTAATTATTAAGAATTTTGAATATATTTTCAAAAAAGACAAAGTAAAATCATAAATGAACTTGCCTATTTTATTAGCTTTCTGTGTCTGTGAACTCTAAGATATATCTTTTCATATGCAATCTCTCAAAAACCAAGTTGCACCATGTAATAAAGAGTATGAAGTAGTGTAATAGACAAGATATTTTTCCTCTTTTTTGGGGGGACTATAAATATTAGTACTTCTTATAACTCAAGGCATCATGGACCTGATGAAATATGGTCCAATATATGTTAGATTATCTTTATATTTTGAGACATGATTTTACACTGCTGTCCAGGCTGGCCTCAAGCTCAGAATGTATCCCTGACTAGTCTTAAACTTTCAACAGTTTTCTTGCCACAGGCTTAAACACTAGGAATTACAAAGGTGTATTTGTAGACCTAACCTCTCTCCTCCCCTTCCTAACAGATACTGGTAAGTACACAATACCTCTGACAGGTACCCAACTTGGTCTTGGCCTTATCCTTCAGACTGAAAAAGCCACAAGAATCTCCTGCATGAGCCTCCTGAAGAGCTGGAATTAAAGGCATGCACAACCAGGCCTACTCTATTACCACGTTTTCTTTTTGTCTTTTTTTCCCCCCTTCCATTGCATTCTTTGAGACAGGGTTTCTCTGTATAACAGCCCTGGCTGTCCTGGGACTTACTCAGTAGACCACGCTGGCATAGAACTCATGGGGATCCACCTGACTCTGCCCACCAAGTGCTGGGATTAAAGATGTATGCTACTACACCTGGCCTGTATTTATCTTCTTAAATCTAAGAAACACTCCTTGAATTCTGTGCAACCCATAGCACTCAACTCTTGAAACATGCATTTCGTGCATCATTTATTTCTGACATCCTATCTTTTAACACTTCCACCAATTTCTGTTTCTCCTCCAGTTCTGGGGCATAAAAACCAGAGATTCACCTGAAACAGGAAAGTGCTCTACTATTGAGCTACCCTGTGCTTCCCATTCCATATAACATCTAACGAAGATATGACTCTCTTGGCAAATACATTCTCCTTCACTTGTGTATTCTTAAGAAAAAGAAAGAAAGTATTAAGTAAATGAAAGTAGGTAAAATCTGGCTAGGCTTGCTTGGTCTGAAAGCAAGCAGAAGTGGTGTCTCTGGTGTGTGACTTATTATCTGTGAGCACACAATTCCCTCAAGCTATTTAAAAAGCACAGGAGAGACCTAGTTAGGCTGGAGGCTGTTATCTCTGTTGTGAGGTCAGAGCAGCCTTTAATAGGATATCAACACCAAGCCATTATCTTTGAAAAAGTAAACTCTGGCCTGAGTATGGCTGCATGCCTGCACTCCCAGCACTCACGAGACAGAAACAGGAAGAAAATCATCCTTGGCTGTTTAGCAAGTTCCAGGTCACATGATACTCTATATAGTCCACAAACTAAGTAGAAAAGAGAAATGTGAACTTCGAATGTAACAATACATTTAAGCTTTGAACTCACAAATGAAGTCACCAATGGATTAGTTTATGTGAATGCATCACAATACTCACTTGATGGTGCAGACTCACTTTCACTGTTATGTCTAGAGCTGGTTGACTCAGAGTTCAAACTGAGGGTGCTTGGGACAGAAGAGAGCTCATTGCAGAGCTGTTCCACATCATCTGGAACCACTGGCCACAGATGCTTGCGACTGTGCCTCACAGAATCCCAGCTGTGACATTTTAGAATATCACAGCCTTGCTTGGTTTTAGCTATGAGCCCAAGAACATATACACAGGTCCTGCAAGGAAAAAAAAAGTTTATAATTCCAAGATGAGATTTTTAAATGACCATAAAATAGTAGGCTATATGGATATCTACATTTTCCTTAAGAAGACATTTAAAAATTGTTTGATTGTGGAAAACAGCATATTAAATGTAGTGGAGAAAATGAATGAAAACCATGTAAGTCTCCCTAATAAAATAATTAAAACAAAATACAGTACAGCAGGATCCTAGCAAAATATATTTAAATTAACAATATGAATCTTGAAATACTGAACCGTACATCTATTTGTGAATAAGAATATATTCACTAGAAAGACTTCTTAGGTACGTAACATACCCTCTGATGGAAAGAACCTCACACTGTTTTGCAAGTTTTAGTATATCTGGAATCACATTTTCTTCCTGTAGCAAATTAAGCCCCCAATTCGATGAGCCAATATTTCCCTAAAAGAAATAATATCAAATATTTATGACTAATATTTTGAAGAAACTTTGAAAGCCACCAAAAAAAAAAAAACACATTTAAAGCCAACTATGAGAGAGAAAAGACTATGCAAGGTAAAAACAAATCCTTAACCGAGGTATGCTAGGAGTAAGCAAACATGCTGTTTGTCTTAGAAGGAGAACAAAGGCAAACACCACTTGCTTAATCATCTATTTCTTCAGCATAAGAATAACCTTTAAACTGGTAAGAACAATTTGGTCTTTGAATATTAATCTAAGAACATGCTCAAGGTGAAGTAATTTTAATTTATTTAATATTAGTGGGAGGACCCTAAAAAACAAAACCCATAACCATTGAAAAGATCAGAAATGTTTATTACAAACCAAGGCCCAAAGAGCGGCTTTCAGTTTTTTAATTTCTTCCCATTTATCCAAGTCTGGAGTGCGAACATTGTGACAGAGTTCTGTGATAACATTCTAGAGAAAAATAAGAAGTATCATGTAAACAACAATATATTATCCTTCTAAAGTATTTTCTCATAGTTTGGCAGAAGTCAACCAAGGGTTTACCTTCGTCACTTCTGCACATTTAGAATTCCAAGAGTGACTTTACATATAGCTTATTTAGGAGCCATATTAGTGCACAGGTACTGAATTCATATTCTAGAAGTTTTGTCACTTGTGGTGATATATTGTTTACAAGTTAATAAAACTTGCCTGAAGGATCAGAATGCAAAGCCAGCCACACCGGACAGACATAGAAGCTGGGCAGTGGTGGCACACATCTTTAATCCCAGGACTCAGGAGACAGAGGCAGATGAATCTCTGTGAGTTCAAGGCCACAAGAGTGAATTCACACCTTTACCCCAACACTATAAGGAAGAAGCAAAGGGTCTCATGTGGCAATTATTCTCCAGCCATGTTGAGAAGAGCACAGTAGTCTAAGGTTCTGAGGCTTGGTGGAGAGCAGTGCAGTCTGGAGATGCAATCTGAGGTTCAGTGGATCCCCTTAAGTCTGAGCATTTGGTAGAAATGAGCTCTCTCTAATGGCTAGCCACTTTGCTTCTGCGATCTTCAGTTTTAAACCCAATACCTGTTTCTGGGTTTTATTATTCCTACTATAGTCACCAACTAATCTGCATTAAGGTTCAGTTCAACCTCTGATTCGAGGAAGACGGCAACTTAGTTTTTTCATATTATTTGATTATAATTTCTTCAGTAAATCATGAAGAATACAGACCTGAGCTGAGGTTAACTCAACACAACAAATCAGTTATTCAGTTACTGAACTTCCCCATGCCTTGAATTTCTAATCTAAAAGGAATAACGGCACCTGCCTTACAAAGTCTCTTGAGTTAATGAATCATTTACATATGAAGTACTTGGTACCTATAAGTCATGTTTTAAACAATTTGTGTGTGTGTGTGTGTGTGTGTGTGTGTGTGTGTGTGTGTGTGTGTGTGAATGTCACAAACCCCTTGTAGATATCAGAGGAAAACCCATACAAGTTGGATCTTTTCTGCCACCAAATGGCTCCTGGGGATCAAATAAACTATTAAGCCAGACAACAAGACAACTTTTGAGAAATCTTGGCAAAGATATTTATTTAGCACTACTAAGAGTTGTCTTTTACTCTTTTTACAATTTACAATACATATTATGTTTTTACCTGTACTTCTAGTAAATGACATCCTGTTTTGTGGTGTACCAGTTGTCCATAAAGATGTACCGGCAGATAGACATGAGGTCGTTGTAATCTAGTATGATGAAAAGAGGACTGAAAAAGTTACTAGCATACTTAAATAATTAAGTAAAAATTATCAAAAAGCAGGATATGATTTCTAACAAAACAATAAAGATATGACAGTATGAGGAGTTCTCTGAAAAAAATAATAGTTTTGTAAGTCTCACAGTTAGTTTATGGTGAAAAAGCTGGAGCTAGAAAAGCCGACTGGATTAAGAATATAAAGTATATCTAAGTCAGGTGACACAAAGCATGTTTAGCATGCAATAAACACCACTGGAAACTTGGGGCAAGCACTGCACTGCAGAGATTTTTCCTCTATCAGTGTATGGAAGGTCTCAAAAACAGTTTTTAAATGACCTATTAAAAGTTGATTTTAAATTTGACATTTGAGAGGCAGTAATACATGGACCCACTGACTGGACCATACCTTTGGTTACTCCGACGAACGTAGTTATCACCATCAATAGGTTTTCTGTATGTAGTGAGTGCTTCATTAAGTTGTTCCTCAATTAAGTCAACATATTTTGAATTGTATTCCTAGAAGATAGTATTGTTTCAATTTTATGTTTTCATAATGACCCTGTCAATACATTATGTCAGATATTTAGCAATTTTTGAAGCATAAAAATGAGATAAATAAAAAGCATGTTCACAAGATTTTGAAAAAGGACAAGCATGAGTCATGAAGGCAAATGTTCTATCCCATCTACAAGTGTTCTGACTAGCTTCTCTCTCTTTCTGAGGTTTCCTTGAAAAAGTTGCCTTCTTATTAAGCTCTAAAGATATTCAGTATAAATTTAAAAAAGAAAATTAATTGTACTATATAATTTCAGTGTTTTTAAATTAAATTCTTTACCATACCAATTTAGATCAGGTAAAAAATAAATTTATTTCCTACATACCCTTTGAAAAAAAATCCCAGTTCAATGGTTTTGATTTTTGTTTTGCTTTTTTTTTTTTTTTTGCTGTTGTTTTTTGCGACAAGGTTTCTATGTGAAACTGTCCCAACTGTCCTGGAACTCACTCTGTAGACCAGGCTAGCCTCGAATTTACAGAGATCCACCTGCCTCTGCCTCCCGAGTGCTGGGATTAAAGCTGTTAGCTACCACTGTCCAGCCCAGTTCAATGTTTTAGGCTAAGTACATCATGTTGCTATGTGTATTACAAAAGTTTTCTATTCTAAGCTTCAGCAAAAATTGGTAAATCCAAATTTGAAAGGCAATTCAGCAGTATTTGTTAGAAATTAAATTATGATTCATTTTTGTAGCAACAATTACATTTTAAAAATTTAATTCAATTTATATGTTTTCAGAATTATAAAATATATACTTTTATACATACCTGTATGTAATAATATTGAGCAAGTAATAACATTTATTTAAAAAATTAAGCTGGGTTGGGTACAATCTAAATATACATTAATAACAGGATTGACTATATTATGTAGCCACTAAAAAAATAAGGGAGTAGTCAGTGAGTTATCTTACCAGGTAGACACTTGCTACCAAATCTGACAGCCAGTTCAGTCACTAGAGGCTACATGGTAAGAGGATATGAATAACTCCTGCAAGCCCTCTGACTTCTACACAAGGTTCATAGCATATGCATCTACCTATCCATCCACCCCCTTAACACACACACACACTTAGTTTAAAAAAAGAATGCGGTAGATCTGAATAAATTGCTCTGGAAAGATAAAATAGTAAATGAAAATTTTCAGTTTTATATACATTTGCAAACTGAACTCATCCATTTATCTTTTGAATAAAGAATATTTATATACATTTGCAAACTGAATTCATCCATTTATCTTTTGAATAAAGAATATTTATAAGTATATATGTGTGTATGTATGCTTGCAGCTGTACACAGCATCCAAGTGCATAAAAGAACATTGTGAAGGTACAGCATGTTCAGAAAAGACTCAGGAAGGGGTTACAGAAACCTGTCTGCACTTTAAACCACACAGACTATGTCAGTCAGGCACGTAACTTAGTGCCCTGCTAGGTTCACGGAAACCTTTTCCTGGTCATGAGGTTTTATATTTACTCTACAATAGTAAAAATTATTTAAATAGTATTACTATACTTGCCTCTAATATAAATGTCAGTACAAAAACTTCATTAAGGCAAGTATTTGAGTTCTTTACAGAATTAGTTATTATCCATGGAGTATATATACTCAGTGATCTCTTAACAGTGACAACTGGAAAATACTAGCAAAAGCCAGTGCCATTGCTGAAAGTCATGAAACAGATCAAGTTTCTGATTATGATTATCTCGAGGATTCAGTCCAAAAATATTGACCTGGAAGGGCAAGGAGACACTCCTCCATCTCAAGTGTGGATGTCTACTACTAGGAGACGTGAAGAGGACAGAAAACACTGCCTTTGTCAGTAGCTGTACATGAGAGAAGTAGATGAAAGCAGCTCCCAAGAAAGACTCAATATTATGAAGCATCCCATGTAGAGCCAACAAGCCCAGATGATTGTACCAAGTAAGAAAGAATGTAACAGATTCCTTCGTCCTTCTGTTCCAAACCTGGAAAGGTATGAAACTTACAATCCAAAAACAGAAGAAGGCTGCAGAGATGGCTCACTGGGTAAAAGCAATGGCTACTGTTTGGACCCAGGTTTGATTCACACCACCGACATGGAGGCTCCTATCTATCTATAACTTCAGTTGTGGGGGATCTGGTGCCTGCTTCAGGTGTCTTCAAAGGCACCAGATACACATAGATACATATATGAAGCAAAATACTCACATACATAAAATAAAAGTAACTGACACAAAAATAGAGGAAGAAATGAGGGGTGGGGAGAAGCAAAGAAAGAACTCTTACTCTTTCTCCACTGGTATTTTTAAGCCAAATGTAGGCTTGTCCTGGGTGAGAGAAGCATAAAATTGCATGACTAAAATTGAATAGTATGCTGACTTGGACACTACATTACCTTAAAAATAGACAAACTGTTTACTAGCTGACAAGAAAAGCTGTAGGATCTGCCTAACACTTCATCTAGGAGCAAGAAGAAATGATCACAATTAAAATAGGTTGAAAGGCACAGTGATAAGATCTTTTATGCTTCTAAATCAGTTTGTTGAATAAAATACCAAAGAAATAAAGCAGCAATTATAAAAAGTCATGCTTTCCAAAACAGCAGCTACATCTTAATTAGAAGAATCAATGACATATATGATGAAAGCTAATACTCAATAGCTGGATTAATTGCATAAGCAATTATCTACAAGGTTTTGAGAATTAAAACAGCTCTCCTCTCAAAAATCACTATTTTCATGAAAAGCAGATAAACTTTTCTACAAAATGCCTGAGAGTAAGTACTTTAGTTTCTACGGGCCACACATGTCACCCCCCAAACTCCAAATCCCCAAAATGGCAGTACCAATGACAGTATCCTAAACGACAGTCTGGGTTCAGCTCAGGCTACACTCTGGTAGTTAAACAGAAGGACTGATGGAGGACAGACTGAAGTTAACATTTAGAATTCATCAGAAACCCGTGAAATGGGCTGAATTAAGTTTTTAAAGTTTTTGCCTGCCAGACAGCCACTTCCTTTATCACCTCCACTTCCATCAAATGGGGCAGATGTCTAGTTCCCTATTGGCTCACACTGAAACACAAATCCAAGTCCCAACCCTTTCTCCCAGACTGTTCTGGACTGCACACCCCCAGACCCTGTAGCTACCTGCTCTCCTTAAAACCGGCAAGAATTTATCCAGCCTTCTGCTATCTTCTCTGCCTCCTGAGAAGTAGCCATGGCACCTTTGGACTCCCCCAGAATGCCTTTGGCTATTCTTGATCTACCACTGGAGAGAGAGAGAAATGTGGCAGTTTCTTAATTCCAAATACACCTTCCTTTCCAATCATGGAGTGCTATATAATTCGATGGTTTCCCTGTGCCACTTACAACTATGCCAGCAGAGGTTTGCTCTCAGACTCATGAAAGGTAGCACACTAAAATAAAGTGCAAGTAGATGATTATATTGCTTACACAGACCTGTTTTCAATCTTGCCTCACTTGGAAAATTTTATTTTAGTAGAGAATGGCTAAAGCAAAGCCAGTATGTATAAGGGACCCAAGAACAAAAGGAATGGTGATTATTTGGGTCCAAGAAATCATAGTAGTAAAACACACAATCAAGGTTAAATTCCACAGAATGCAGTCAAAATAAACAGGGACAACAAAATGGCTCATGTAAAGAAAGGTCCTTGCTCCCAAGCCTGATGATCTGAGTTTAATTCCTAAGATCTATAGGATGGAAGGAGAGGACCAATTCCCACAAGTTGTTCTCTGATGTCCATGTGCCTGTCGTGATATGCATGACCACACAGCATACACAAAAATCAATCAGCCAATCAATCTAGCTTAAGCAAGCAAACAAACAAACAAACCAAAAAACTACAATTAGGAAATAGATGAGTATACATATCAGTATAACATTGATAGAATTTAAGGTTACACATGTGTGGTAATATGAATCGGTATGGCCCCTATAGACTCATGCTTGGCCCAAATGGAGTGGAACTATTAGGAGGTGTGGCCTTGTTGGAGCAGGCATGGCCTTGTCAGAGGAAGTGTGTCACTGTGTGGATAGGCTCTGAGGTCTCATATGCTCAAGCTATGCCAGGTGTGGGATAGAGTTGCTTCTGCTGCCTGCAGACTCTCAGCTCCTTCTCCAGCACCATGTCTGCCTGCACACTGACATGTCCCACCATGACAATAACAGACTAAACCTTTGAAACTGTAAGCCAGCCCTAATCAAAGGTTTTCCTTGTTAAGAGTTGCTGTGGTCAGGGTGTCTCTTCTTAACAATAAAGACCCTAAGACAATATCAAGTATTGTTTTTGTTTGGTTTGTAGATAAGGTCTCAAGTAGTGCAGAGTGGTTTGAATTTCCAAAGAAAAAAGTATACAAATTAAATCTTATTACTGAATAAGAAATTACCTTGTGCCATTTTTCCAATTGTTTTGCTACATAACCCCTTTCATTCAGATAGGAAAATCCTTTTGGAATGGAGAGAAATCTGTAAATTAGAAAAATCATAGCTGAACACCGAGTCAAAAAAAAAAAAAAAAAAAAGAAGATCTAAAGTAACATAAAGAATATGCTTAAGAAACAAACAGATTTGGAATATTTCAGTGTCTAAAATAAAAAAGGTTTACTATAATTTCAAACACTAGGACTTCCGTTTCTCCCTACATCTGACAGTTGTACAAATAAAACCGCTGGTGCATTTTTGGGATGGCTTTTAGATAGATAGACATGCTGAAGGAATACCCTGACCTCAGTTGGAAGAAATCCTATCAGCCATCACCCAAACCCATCAGTGGCTCTCAGACCCATAGCACTGCAACCATGTAGCTTGTACATCTACCTGATTCAGAAACCTCATGTTTCTCTTTCTTATTTTTCTTTCCTAAGTACGCTTTCCTTAAAATGTGTGTGTGTCCTCAGCATTCTGGGACTTCTCACTCTGAAGTTTCCCTCCCCACAGTGTGGCTGCTTATCTGCCATGTATCTGATCTCCATGTCAGATTAAGGTATGGCCTTTTATCCTTCTCTCCCCCTCTGTCTTCCTCTGGGCAGGTGTTGAAGTTTTACAGCTTGTCTGCCCTGGGAAATTTCTCTTTAAACTCTAACAACATTGTCCTTGACCTTCCAATTTTTTTGTTTTCAATTGTAGACAAATGCAGACTGAGCCCGTTAAAAATAAAGAAAACTTTATGAAAACATGAGAGAAATATTAACCATAAGCACACAAATAAGTAAGGACAAGCTCAATTCTAAAATAGGCATAGTTCAGACGTTTAAAATAAATTAAGAATATTTCCTAGTCAGATTTGGATCCAACATAACCAAGAAGACACAATAATGAATATCACCACAAGGAAATGTACTTAATACTTACCTCAAGAGGAGAAGCAAGCCCTTGTCACCAAGGTGGGATAAAGCTGGTTTCATCTGAATAAGAGCATGAAGATTGGCCTAAAGGGATGATCGAGTTAATAATAATGCAATGACACTACATTCTCTGTTCCAAAATGCTTATGCATACTGTACTCTTGTAACATTGCCAATTAAAATGGAGTATTTTAATAAAATTCAGCCTAAATGTTTCATTATACCAATACAGCTGAAATTTACCTTGTCTTCACAAGCTTCATCAAGGATATCCAGAGCTTCAGAAGAAATTGTTTTGTTTTTATCATGTAGCTGAGTCACTAGTAACTCTATTCCCCAATTGTTGAAGAATTCAACATTAGCTCTTAATAAAACCCTTAAATGTTTTGTTGCATACAATCTGCAGGCCTAGAGAGATAAAGGAACACATTAAAAGTCATCATAGATATTTACTAATGTCTTGAAAAAGCATTTACTTACAAAGGACAGAAGGACTGGAGTTGAGGTATGTATAGTTAGTATCTGATATAAACATTCCCTTTCTAACTAGCAGCCTCATACAATAACTTAAAAGAATTTTATAAATTCTCAAGACAGTAAAAAAATGTAGTAAAGAGAATATGTCAATGCAATGCTAAACTACTACAAATTATGTATCAAACTTCTTGTATTCTGAGAAATCACAGGGGCTGGCATAGGCAGAATATGATGGACCCTAGAAAACCATTTTTGTGATCACAGAACATCCCTTGCCAGGTAAGTACAGCAACTAATAATGAAGGTTAACTCAACTTCTACCCCATATTCTTAGTTTACTTAAACTAAACATTGTAGTGACTTAGCCTATGGTTTATAAAGTACTGGAACAGAATGGTTAAAAAAACTACAGCTTATCTCCCATGTTATACTCACATCAGTAGCTGCAGTGAGGATTTTTGAAAGAATGACTCTAGCTAATCCATCTCTGCTATAGTCGAGGCTAGAAACAGTGAGTTTCAGCAGGTGATCTTGGTTTTTCAAAGAGCAAAGATTAAGAAGACTAAAAAAGAAGAGTTATTATAAATCATTGTGTTGATTCATTAACTCAGTAAATTTTTTCCAGTACAATTGAAATATGACTGTCATATGGAAAATTTAGCACATTCAAAGCAGACTATCCGATTAGATACACATCAGGTAATACACTCAGTAATGAATCTATTAACACAGATGACTATTATTTTAGAAAATGGGCATGGGAAAACAATTCAACATACATTTAAAAAATCCTATATAAGTAAATACTTCTGAGAAAAAGTATTTACCAAACACATGTACACAGACTAAAAAGCACACTGTGTATCTGTATTCATTAAGACTAAAGTTTAGGTTTACATTCCAACAAAATTTGAGAATGCTCACCACTGAAAGACACTGCATTTTTCCAGCATTTTTACTCCATGAGGATGACAAGAAAGTGTTCCAATAAATAAGAAGTAGTGTTGACTAAGGGTGGTCAGTAAACCATTATTCTGAAGGCTTCTTTCAGGTTTCATCCCAGATGAAGCATTGAGCCACTGAACAATATCTTTCACAAGATCTTCTAAGTATCCCTGCCCATCCTGCAATTAGAAAGTCATCTCTAATAGTCATAAAAATATTTATTTTAATTTAAATTAGAAACAAGTTTGCTTCCCATGTCAATCCTAGCTCCCCCTCCCCTCCCCTCCTCTCCCGCCCCCCTTCAACCCTCCCCCAATCCCCACTCCATTCTCCAAGGACAGTGAGGCCCTTCTTGGGGGATCTGGAAAGTCTGTCATATGATCTGGGGCAGGGCCTAGGCCCTTCCCCAAGTGTCCAGGTGGAGACAGCATCCCTCCATGTGGAATGGGCTTCTAAAGTCCATCTGGATGACAGGGCTAAATGCTGATTTATTGCCTGATGGCCCAAAAGATGATGAGGCCTCCTCACTGACACCCACGTTCAGGGGTCTGCATTATTCCCATGCTGGCCTCTCAGCCATCAGTCTAGGGTCTATGAGCTTCCCCTTGCTCAGGTCAGCTGATTCTGTAGGGTTCACCTGCCGAGTCATAACCCCTTTGCTCATCACTCCTCCCTCTCTGCAACTGGGTTCCAGGAGTTCAGTTCTGTGTTTAGCTGTGGGTGTCTGCCTCTGCTTCCTTCAGCCACTGGATGAAGGCTCTAGGATGGCACACAAGGAAATTGTCAATCATGTTATAGGGAAGGGCATTTAAGGTAGCCTCTCCACTATTGGTTAGATTGCCAGTTGGTGTCATCCTTGTAGGCCTCTGGACATCTCACTAGTGCCAGAGCTCTCATCAAACCTATAATGACTCCCTCTATTATGTTATCTCTCATCCTTCTCTCCTCTATTCTTCTCCCAACTCAATTTTCCTGCTCCCCTATGTCCTTATCGCTCCTCCTCCAATCTTAGTGAAGGTAAGTCACTGGTAACATAGGATCTCTGAGTATGTGGAGTTTAATCCCTTTGAATTAAAAAGAAAAAAAAGTTACCAGGAGATCCTCTATTTTCCTTTCCCCATCATATCTCAGAGTAAACCAGGCCCTAAGGTTTCCTAATTAGGTAAGACTAAGTCAGGGTTCAAATACAGGCCTAAGTTTCTATTTCAAACAGCACTTATAACAACTAGGAAAAAAAAAGTAAACCAGAAGGGCAGATGTGGTGGTGTACACTTTAATACTAGCACTCTAGGCAGACAGTTGAGTTCGAGGCCAATGTGGCCTACATAGTGAACCCAGGCCAGCCAGAGCTACAGAGTATGACTTTTCTTGAATGGAAGGAAGGAAGGAAGGAAGGAAGGAAGGAAGGAAGGAAGGAAGGAAGGAAGGAAGGAAGGACGGACGAACGTGTGTATCAAAGGGTGGCAACAGAGGTGAAAAAGAGGGAGCAGGTTCAACAAAAAATATTTGCGGCCAAAGTCTCTGGAAGGCTTACCTCTTCAGACTCAAGAAGAAACTCTGTAAACTGACAGCCGACAACTGTGAGCTGCTTGGACTTGGCAAAGTCCAGATCTAGACTGGCATACAGCTTACTGCTGGGCTTGTAAAAATAAAGAAGTCTGCGCACGAACCTAAAATCAAGATGAAATTAGCAACAAAGTAGGGAATAATTATTAAAGAAGTACTGAACAATTTTTTAAATAATTATTTAATAATACAATTGCTACAAACAACTACTAAACAACTATTAAAGAATCGAGCACAGGTTAGGAAGTTTACTAAACTTGGTACATTTCACATTTTACAAAGAAATCACTGGAAAAACATATTGGTAGAATTAAGTATTTTATGGTGCAGAATAACCCAGGCATGGTCATATATTTGAAACCCTCAGCACTCAGGAGGGAAGGAGGGAAGGACAGAAAGAACAGTAGCTCAAAATCAGGGAGGTCACATAGTGGGTGTCAGCCTAGCCTGGGTTACATAGTGAGATCCTGCATCAAAAAAAAAAAAAAAACAAAAAAAACAAAAACAAAAACAAAAAAACCAAAAGAACCAAACTAAAAACAACCACCACATCTCCAACAACAAAACTACAATCTGAGATACGACATCTAGACTGGAAGGCTGGAGAGATGTAAGGAAGCCTCTTACAGACAACCTAACTGAATTTATGAAAATATTCCAATAACTTTCAATGTTGTGCTCACTTAATTTAATGTTGTGTTCATCTTAATTTCATGTACTACAGTGTAACCCAGAGAGGTAGCTATGTACAGGAGTTATAATACAAATTTATTAAGATATCATTGTTTTACTCTTAAAGAATATCAACAATACCATGCTTCAGTCTCACTGTAAATTGTCTATGTATTATCAAAACCTGACAGAACACTAAGTTACATATTATTAAATGTGAATACAATATAAGAAATGTTTATGATATGGCCTTCTCTAGACAAAGTAAGGCCTTTTTATCCAGGAGATTGGTAACAGTGGCTGTTAAGTCATTCAGGAGTAAAAGCACACAGGTGTAACAGAGAGTGGCTTCACGTGCTGCGTGTGCCATGACGCCGGCATGCTTTACAGTGTGTCAGCTTCATGTGTTCTGTGTGCCATGATGCCGGCATGCTTTACTGTGCAGGTAAGCAGAGTTAGGAAGAAGAGACAACTCTCAGAAGATGACTTGTGCACAAGCACAAGAGTTCCAATAAAAACATGACATTTCTTATTGCTATGCTTGTGTCAGGGTTAAGACCATGACCTAGATAATACTACCCCAGTGTAAGAAACTTATTATAAACACCAGAGCTGGAAGAAAAATATAGGTAACAAGAAAATTAGCTAATGCATTCTGATTACAAGACTTCGCATAAAATGTATGCATCTTTTAAAAACTCAATGATTACTTTTAGCAGTCATTAGCCATAATACAAATTTAAGTTCTTCAAATTTAAATGTATAATAGTTCTTACATACCTGTGCAACTGTTCATCTTTATAGTTTCTTAGATTTACATTTGGCCACTAGAAAAACATAAGATCTTATATTAAACAGTATATATTTGACAATGACTATAATAAAAATTATAGTAATAAAATGAAGACAATTTAGCAATCTCCATGAAGTACTCTATCATACCTTAAGAATGGTCCCAATAAGATTCCAATTCCATTCAAGATTTTCCTTATGTTGAAGGACTTGGCTGTCCCTAAGGTTTACTAAAAGAGTTTCCTCTGTATCCTAAAATTACCAGATAGTAAGAAGGTCAATTAAGCAATCTATGTTCACATCAGAAAACTAATTTCTAATTTGAAAAACGAAAAGCAGGGTATCATCAATGATCCTCAATAATTATTTATTTTCAAAAGCTAATAAAAATAATAATAAAATCTAGGGCAGGGAGATGGTTCAGTTAATAAAACGCTTGCCTTGCAAACAAGAAAACCTGAGTTCATTCTCAAGAACCTACCCATGCTGAGACTGGGGACACACACTTGTCATTCCAGCACTGTGGAATAAGTTGCAAGGGGAATGCTGAGCTGCTGGCCAGTCCAGCCTGCCTAGCCTATGTGGTGAGTTTTTGGTCAGTGAGAGACCCTGTTTCAAAAGCAAACAAAAAACAAGTAACTCAAGGTCCATGGTGTCTTGACGAACAGCTCACTGTTATCCTCTGGCCTCCACACACATATGCACATTCTCATACAAACATCCGCAACACACACTCTACCTTTAACATACACCTAAACCCAGCTCTAGGGTTGTTCTTCAAGGTAAAACTAATAATTTGAAAATCCATATGCTTGAATGAAATTGAAAACCCAGACAAGCCAGCTGTTGAGAATTAGGAAACTAAGTTAACATTCATGTCAGTACCTTAAGAACAAATATATCTTTCTGAACCCGAAGATATTGATCCCGTTTCTGGTGTGTTGCAATTGCTTTCTGAATGATGTGATCTAAATGAAGGCTATAAGGCTTAGGTCCTCGTTTCTTCATTTCATGGAAGCGTTTTAAACAGTTCAGGGCTGCACTGGCTCGACTGTGAGGAAAGAAAAATCAATACTGTAGCAAGGCTAGCAGCATACTTTTAAAGTAATGGTTGCTAAGTTATTTAAGCTTACATAAATTCAAGAATAGAGATTACTAAGCAAAGTAAAATATTTACTCAGGCATGGAGCATAATGACAACACAGGTCAACACAGGTGACTTACATAAAGAACCCATTTTGGGTTCAAACTTTCACTTATGGAGTACTAGTGAGACGCATGGCTCAAAGGCATTTGCTTTACTAGCATCAGCGGTACCTGAGTTTGGAACCCAGTGCACACAAAAAAGAGCTGGCACTGCAGTGTACACCCGTGACCTCAGTGCTTGAGTTGTAGACAAGCAGACCCCAGGCCCTGAAAATTGGTGGCTACTCAACCAGCCTAGCCAGAAGGGTCAGCTCTAGGTTCAGTGAGAAATCCTACTTCATAAAGTAAGGTGGAGAATAACAGAGGGAAAATACCTGGCTTCTACATATATGTAAAGTGAACCATTACCACCCCCAAAAATACACATACTGAGAGGTATTAACAAAGTCAAGAACCCAGTTTTCTTATTAATGTTTTAAAGCTTTTGTTTTTCACATGTAAATTTTTTCTACTTGAAACTGATGTTTGTTTACATGAAGTTGCAATAAAACTTCACTGTCCATCAATATACTCAATTATCCTAGTAACGACTGAATTGTCTATTTTCGGCATTGACGGATAATCATAACTAGAATCTTTTAAATTATTTAATTACTTAGTAAAAACTACAGTACTGAGGACATTGGCAACAACTGTGTCTCAAATTTAGGACTTTTGCTAAGTAGAGTCTAAAATCCTTAGGATGCAGTCATACTGGCAATTGCTTAATCTGTCAGTAAAGACAACTTAGGGAGCTAAAAGAAAAAAGAAAAGAAAAGAAAAGAAAAGAAAAAGAAAAACTTAAGAGTACCACTATTTCTGTTATTTTAGGAATTTTTAATTCTCAGGGATGCCTGAGATTTGTGACGTTAATTTCAGAGAGTAGAACTACCAGGCTTTAAGAAATAAATCATTCCAAAACAGAACTACTAAATAAAATGGAAAACTTCATTATACTACAAGCCTCCTGTTAGAACCAAAATGTTCTGCTAATGTCTCAGGTGAACAGTATGTCTCCAGTCTATTTATTGGAAAAATCAAAATGAATTGTTATTGATGATTAGGTCCAACTGCAAACATTTGTTTTACTAAAGATAATTAAATGTTTGAAAAATGTGTAATTTTAAAGAAAAGTTCATAGTTCCAAACAGCTAATGAACTGCACTTCACTTACATTACCAGTGGGGGAAATGTGGTTGACATCTATAACATTTTCCAATTATAAAAGCAAGCAAACAAACAAACAAAAAAACCCCTCACTTTAGCTCAGGGACATAAAAGAAAATAAGTTAATTTATTATTTACTAACACCTTGTGGTCTCAAATACAAATTATTAAATACTTTGAGAATTGTAATTTTCCGTTGAGGTTTCCAAAAGGAATTTCCAAGCACAACCTATCCATGCTCCTTGCTTTCTTCCCCTGTTCAAACAGAAGGTTATCTAGGAAGGTGTTAAATATATTAAACACAATTTGCTAAGGCTCTAATACTTACAGTCTCTTTTCCTTGGGAATATCGAAGGATGCAGCCATATTCATAAGGGTTGGCAAGCAATGCAAATGATGGCTATGCGAATGAGGAAGAATTGTGTTTGCCTGTATGGAAAATGATGTTTTATGAGATTTTAGAAACAAATATGGTTACTTAGAGACATAATGTAGTTTGTCAGATTAATAAAACTCAAAAGTTTTTCATTAAATTATTTCCACTCACACATACTTATAATTTTTATTCCCATCAGATTCCAGTAAGGAGGACAGGTTGGAGCCAGTGAAATGGTTCTGCAGGACTGGGTATTTGTGATTAAATATGAGGACCCATATGTCACAAAGTGAGAAGCAACTCCTCCAAAGTTGTCCTCTGACCCCCAATTTACCAGGGCAAGATTGCACCTACACATATGTGTATACACACATACACTATTGAAAACAAATTTTTAAACAATGAGAATGAAAATTAATAATAAAGCAACCAATTTTCCTATTATTAAATATGGCTTCTAAAAGGCACCAAAGTCACTTTTTAAATGACCCAAAGACTTATGTAGCAAAGCATCGTATTTGAGAAAAGTACAGAAACATTATCAATCTTCTCAGAACATGCTGGTCCCATGGCAACAACCCCTAAATAGAAACATTATCTCTGGTAGCCAGGCAAAATTTCACTACCCAACCAGCTTCCAACCAATAAGTATGTTTATTAAATATAAGTAAGACATGATAGTAAGAAGTAAACTAATATTGCTATCCTTTAATCTGGCCAGCTTTTCTGTTTCATCAGAATCACAGAATTCTGATGCTCTGTATAAAAGAAATGAATATGATATCTTTGTAGAAAATGGTATAAAAGAAATGAATATGATATCTCTGTAGAAAATGGTGTCTTGAAACCTAACATACAGCTCATCTGACTTGAGAATCCGCAGTATTGCTTAGAGTTTCAGATAGACTCAATGAAATTAGCCACTAAGACATTGATGAAAAGACAGATTTTTATACACTGTCCAATTTTTAACCTTACACACATAGCTTAGGTGCAATGTAAGGGAAAAAGTTGGGGGAAGAAAGGAGGAAACAGACATACGTTTTTGGTTTTGGAGACAGTGTCTATTATGTATCTCTGGCTGTTCTGCCATTCAATGACATTCATTATGTAGATCAGGCTGGCCTCAAATTCAGAGATCTACTTGCCTTGTTTTCCATGTGCTGTGTTTATGATTAAATCATGTGCTACCAAGACTAGCCAGAAACAATTAAGAAAATACAAAACAAAAAACTGCAAAGAAAAGCAAGCCATGATGTATATAAAAATATCTGCAAAAAAAAATCACTTTTTCCTAAACAAATTCAAAGTTATTTTAATTTAGTGTTTTATCAACTGGTAATGACCTACAAGTACAAATTTTTATAATGCACAATTCCTCAGTTTACAAAGAGTACAGAAAGGTGCCCAGAATCTCTAGTTTCTAGTAGTTAGTAGAGTCATAAAAACCATCTACCCAAAGAATCTCATTCTCTGAACCTTAAACTGAAATAAAATTCATAGTTTTGTAATTTTTATTTCTTGCTTTCTTCAGTTAGGATGCCTTCTGAAATGCAATGAAGATTTACATCAAAAGAGGTTAAAGGAAAAAAAATCAATATTTGTTACAATTACAAAGGCAGTTAATATAGACACATAACATCTCTATCATAATAAGTACCAAAGACTTTAGCAAAATGAAAATGTACTGTCTGGGCTATCACAAAGTAACACCAGTCAAATAACCTGTTTTATCATTTAAAGTTCTAAAAGTCCAACCCATATAACCAGAAATCACTATTCTTACCATATGTAAGAGCTCTCCTAAAAGGATGGTGGCTCTAACTGAGATGTGTTCGTCACTGTTCGTTATCACTTCAACCAGGCCCTATGAAGGCAAGAAGAAAGCATCACTGCTGCACAATGATGTGTATGGACACATTCTGCATCAGATCGGTTTTCCACTCTAATACTTTTGTTAACAGACAGAACAAAATAAAGGTTTGTAAATATTACCTCTAAAAGTCCATTACGAATAAATGTAGAAAGTATCAGTGCCAAGTAATTGTCCATAAGGTCTGGCCTGGAAATAAAAGCACACAAACAATTTAAATGTTCGACATAACATAAAAGCAGTAATGGTGATAAATTAGTCATTTTTATATCTACACTATACCTGGATCTAGCACGATGGGGAAGAATAGTCTTTGCCTCAGCTGCCACAAAGCCATCTGAAAGCCTCCAACTGTCCTGGAACCTTCCTGGATCTAAAGGAGTTAAAATAGGTAATTACTAGATTAAGTAACAGTGACACAGATGAGTGTGAGACTATCAGCTATCTAGGCTACAAAAAACTTCTATGGGGTTTTTAAAAATCAATCCCCTTGTGGAGTGGTAGAGACTGTACCGGGATTGGAAAGGGTGTGGCTACCTGGTTCTGTTATGTGGACAATTCTATAATGCCACTGCTTGTCAAGTAGTGTGTGTGCCTACAACAGTGGCATATGGGAGTGAAGACAGGTAGATCTGGAGAGCGCAAGGGTCAATCAGACTAGCTGAAACAATCATTTGGGGACTTAGGCATCTTATGAATTACATAATTCTCTCCCTTCCAGAAAGAAGACAAAATGATACTGAGATGAGTATGTCACCATTTAGTCATTTGTTCCTATCGATCCAGTGCATGTTAGTACTCACCTACACTGAGCAGGGCTTCTATGAACTCGTCTGTCACAACAGGTAGAGGGAGACGAAATATGTCATAGAGCACCTCAAGCAGACCTCGCTAAAAGAGCAAATACAGTTCATGTATTTCTACAGAAAAAGTCTGTAGTGACTCTTAAAAGATCATATTCACAGAATAACAAAATTAATAAAAACATACCTATCACATTTCTACCAAGATTGCTTTAGGGAAGGGATAATTACTAAATATTTAATACATGTCATTTAAATTTTTTCAGAAAAATATTTCCTTATCAGTATTGTACAAATTTGAAAACAGGCTTTGGTTCTTCCCATTTACAGGGATGAAAGTCAGTTGATGGCAGGGTATGCTCAGTGGCAAACTACTAGCCTACAATGTCCCAAGGTGTGACTCCCAACATCTCAAAAAGGATCAACAAAATTGCTCCTTTTGTTCCTTGATCAGAGATGTTCCAGTTTATAAGCATACCCTTTCACTTCCATGATCTAGTGCACTTTATTTCACATTTTAAGCAAGGCATGCCTCGACAATGTTTTCTTAGTTTTTTTTCAGTAACAAGTATGTTTCATTTAAAGAAACAACTAGGAGGTAAAATGAACAAAGTTAAAAAAAAACATTTAAAGAAAAAGATAACTTAAAGAGTTAATGTTATTTTTCCCTTCATTCAATTTAGTTTTAGCTACTTAATATAAATGTCCTAATTATAATAATTTAGGAATATATCTAATAAAACAACAATAAGGAACTTAGTTTTAGTGAGAACCAACATCTTTGAAATAAAAACATGGTAACATGGTATCAAAAATACATAAATTACAAAGCATGACTATATAAATAATATATTTACTTTTTTATTATTGTATTTCTGTTTGATTCTTTTAAAAGAACACCCTTCTGTTTAGCTGTATTATTTTAATAATTTATATTTTAACTCAAGTTTTAATAAAATTGTCATTCATTCTTAACAGTATTTTAAGTGATTCATATATTAAGTACTATTTACACTATTAAATACACGTGTACTGAAAATGCTCTCAACTGAAAATTACCAGCCTGAAAACTTCACCGGAGATTTCTAAAAATTATACATGTGTGCACATGAGTGCAGATGACTGCGGAGGTCAGAGGCATTAGACTTTACTGGTATCAGAATTACAGGTAGTTATGATTTGTGTGCTAGGAAGCTGGCCTGAGTCTTCTGCAAGATCAAGACACAGTCCACTCTTCAGAGTGAGCCCTCTCTCCAGTCCCTAATGTTAACTTTTAAGGATTCAGGCATGTAAGAATTACAATAACTGTTACTTACCCTTATTTCCATATTTGGTATGCAAAGTACTCCAATTAGAGATTGGATCCCAGAGTTCCCAGGTTTACATAAATTAATAATACCTAAGGAGGATTAAAGTTAAAAAAAATTAAGAAAGAAATTCTACAATAATATGTCATGACATAAAGTCTGTGATTATTTTCCAAGTTAAGAGAGAAAAGAATGGTATTTTCCTTACCTAACACTCCTCGGATTATAACTAAAACACACACACACACACACACACACACACACACACACACACACACACACACACACTCGGATTATAACTAAAACACACACACACACACACACAAAACCATGACATTTGTCATACTTATTTCTAAAATCAATTGAATGCACTTACGAAATTAAGTTAACATATTCCAAATAAAATGGATGGATCAAAGTGTTTGTTTCTTTTTTTCCCCCCATAAGACAGGGTTGGTTTCTCTGTGTAGCTTTGGAGCCTGTCCTGGAATTAGCTCTTGAAGACCAGGCTGGTCTCGAACTACAAGAGATCCACCAGCCTCTGCCTCCCAAGTGCTGGGGTTAAAGGCATGCACCATCATTGCCCGGCAAGGATCACAGAGTTTAAGTTACTAAACATACTAAATTTTATGTCATAAAAGATATGTAAATATATAAGAAAGCATAAAATGCTCAGTATCATTATAATGAAACACAAAATGCATCAGTGACAGACCACTCCACTACACTAAAAGAGCTAACACTAACGTCTGCAACAACAAACACTGAAAAGGATTCAGAGCAACTGAGCTCACACAGGCCAACAGTGCACAACAGTACACATACACTGAGCAGCTAACCATGAGTGTGCACATACACTTTCAGGAATAAAGAATGCCAGCACCTGCAAGATTCTTCATGGTCAACAGAAACTCAGATGGAATGATGAAGACACAGGGGTAGAAACTGACACACAGATAATGGAGACAGAATCTACACAGTAGGAATATATGTTAACCACTGAAATTTTCAAGATTCTTTCAAATGTTTTATATTAAAATGCTAGGGAAAATGTGTTTGAATACTCACACAGGACTCTGAAGCTCTCTGTTCACAACTACAATGGCCAGTATCCATTAACAAAAATCCTTAGAACCAGCTATGTTTCAGATCCTAATTCTTTTCTTTCAAATGTCTCCTGTGATAACTCAGGTATGGGGCCAACATAAAGTCATTTATGTTTCAAATATACTTTATGTACATATCCTGGAACACAATGTTCTTGTGTTATGACTGGAATTAATCACATGAGGTCACATGTAGAATTTTCTATTTATGTCACTGCTCAAAAAAATCTCAAATATAGTAGCATGTTGGATTTCATGTTAAAGATGCTCAATGTGTATGTCTGTATGCAAGAATAAAACTTATAATTTCTCTTTGGACTTACAATCAAAATTCAAGTTAAATACAGCAAGCAGAATTAAGAGCTTAAGTTCTTAAGTGCGCTTCTCACACTTTGATATCTGACAACAGTTTGAGAAGGCTGAGATTATTGTAAGGGTATAAACCCTCCTCTCTGCTACCCAAGGAAAAAGGCTGTTGATACTTGTTGACAATCTATGTTGCTGAGGTTACTGCTCCAACAGTTATGTGGGGCTTGAAATCTGTCATAGAATTAACACTGCAGTACTTTATTTCATTCATCAATACTGCCACAGACTCTAAACATATTTAGGAAAATACTTCTGTTAGAAAAAATATTTTTAAGGTTTTCACTTGAAATGCTATTATTTTTCTTAATTCAATAGAGGGTAGAAAGCATGTAACGTTTAAAGTTTCTAGTCAAAAATCAATATATAAGGGAACTAAGAAAAAGTCATGAATGTATGAGGTGAATTTTAAAAAGAGACTGACAACGAGAGTCAAGTCTAGAAGGAAAGTTGGAGGAGTAAACAGGCTATCTTGGTGGCTAAAGCACAGTGCAATGCATTTCTGAAAAAAAAATACCCACACTTAATTACAGAAAACAAAACCATCCTTGAGTAAGGCAAGATGGTGAACCTTGGCAGGAGGACCTAAAATGTGTCTATGTTAAAAGAGGACCTGGGTGTTAGTGATGTACTGCTCTGCAATGTCAACTTGAGGGACCTCAATGACCATGCGCCAGAAACTGAGGCCCCAAATACTCGTTGATGGTTTCTGAGAGGTGATTAGGACTAGATGAGGACATCGTAACAAATCACCAAATTAACTCTAGGGGAGCAAACAGCCCAACATTCTTACCACATGATGCTAATGACAGTTTCTTGAACATTTCAGACTGTAGAGGCAAAAACTACCTAAATCTTAATTTTAAAATAAATTACCTACATTTGGTATTTTGTTTTGACAATAAAAAATGTATTAGAGTAACTTTTGAACAATGCTGTTTACTCTTAGGTCCACATACAACCTTTCAGCTGCAAATGAGAAGGTAAGTATAGTAAGGCTGATGTACCAAGAGAGCAGAAGCACACTGGAAACACACTAGCTAAAGCCTGGTGACTGGAATAAATATTCATATGAAAGAGATATTTGTAAGGTAGGATGACTGAAATACACACAGTATTTTAGTAAGTTTCCTTGTTCTGCTTACAGTTAACATTCCTTTATAAGCTCTCTCTACAGTAATACTGTGAAATTTAGAGGCTAATCATTGACAGAAAACAAGTCAATAGACATAGTACTTAATGAAAAAAATTGTTTTTAACTCCATAGGGGGATGAAACATGTATAAGCCCTATACTAAAGAAATCTGGTGAGCTGGAGACCAGGCTCGAGACTATAGCTCTTGCTTATCACGCCCAAAGCCCTGGGTTCAAAACAAATAAAAAATTCAGACTCCTAACACTCTGCCTAACATAGCTACTATTTATGACATTACTATACTATGTTTAAGTAAGAAGCTTCAATAATACATACAACACACAAGTTTTGCCTTTTACTTTGGGAATCTTCTTTGGGAATGTAGATCATGCTGGATTTTCTTAAAATGTCCAGGCAACCATTAGCACACTGACTTGCAATTATAAGGAGTATGTAAATACAGAATGCAATATCCTACTTATTATAAACTTCCTTCACTGTGTTTTAATCATTTTGTGTAAATTTCCTTGGTTATAATACCATAAATGTAAAACTACATTTATTTAAATTAGATGCTATCACAATTAAGCACTTGAAAAACCAAGTAACAGAACCTACCTGCCCATGAGCGGAATGTTGCGATGATTCCCATTTTACTGGCTAGAAATCGTGCTTCTCTGTCTTCTCTGTTGGGGTGGAGGAGGGGAATTAGTAAAGACACAAGGTTTAAACTGAGGTGAGGTTTTTTTTTTTTTTGCTGGTAATAATATATCAGAGTAAAATCCATCATTAATATTATTCACTCTTGAAATCAAAGCAAGATGTTTTGAAAAAGACGAGATTATTCTAAAGCCAACTACTCAACTATTAGTATAAATTGCTCTTCAATTTTAAGTTGACAATATAAGCCTGGTGTGGCAGTGCACATCCACGATCTAAGAACTCAGGAGGCAGGAAGCAGGGGAACTGCTATAGGTTCAAGGTAAGGCTGGGCTACATAGCAGGTTCCTGGCTAGCCAGAGAACACAGTAAGGCAACAATAAATAAATCAGTGAACAAATAAAATCCACACCATGATTTATAACTAAGTCATAAATCTACTTTTAGTTGTTCTTCAAATGAGCAGAAGAGCAGTCAGCTGAAGAAGCACCCATGGAGCAAGGATGCTGGAGAACCAAGAGCCCACCAAGAAACCTAGTCGACCTGCATTCTCTTTAGCTTTCCTACACAGCACGTGCAGAAATCTGCAGTCATCACACAATTACTAAGTAAGAGAAACCCAGTACTAAATAACTTGGGAGATCACAAGTTAACATTTCAATTTCTCAAAACTTTCTTTTTATTGTACTATGTAACTCTGAGAGAGTGCAGCATAAGCTGTGAGATAGGACACACTTCTACTCCCGCTGCCCTACCTCTGTACACCTCAGCATAAACACAGCGCACACAGATACCCACCCCCTAGAAACTCTTTTGTGGCACTTACTTGAGCTGTCCTTCAGCTGTGTCTGGACTATGTCTGTAGTGGAAATCAGTATAGGGTGCTAAAATTCGCTAATTTGAAAAAGAAAGAGAAATACAAAGAATTTTGATTATAGAAGCCATTTTTTCTATAACACAAAACTAATTCCATTTCTCTATATCTTTAAGTGGAGCAACTTTCAGATACTGGTTCTTCAAAACCATTATTAAAATGCAGTGTGATTTTAGGTACAAACTGAATTTTTAATTCATTAATTAAGGTATAAAATGCATCTAAAACAAAGCAGGCACAGGCATAAATGTGTTTCTGGACGGGGATGGCAGTCTTCTTGCATCACTTAATATGATGCTCCCTACCAAATACGCCTGTTACCATGTCTGCTGTTGGCACCCAGTTGTCAGATCTGTTCTTTGAAGCAATGTGTCTTTCTGTTGGTTTTTTCTTCTTAAGTTTAAGTGATGTGGATTTAGCAGTCTTATGATGAAGTCCCTAACAGTTTATTTTCTTTTATGTTCTATTTGCAAAATGTAATTGACTCTAGAAACGAAATTTTAGTCATTGTATCTCTGGATCCTTGCTCCTGCCAATCCCCTCTCCTTTCTAAGGGCTGAAGCTTTTTTTATCCCATGTGCTTTGTCTTGCCTGAGTGCTGCTCACCCCACTGTGGTCTACTCTAATTATTTCTATTCATTTTGCTTTTGGATTCCTATTGATGTCTCTTTGTCCACAATGAAATCTTAATGTCACAGAATCCTGAATTAGATATATTTTTCACACTAAAAATTCCATTTGACTCATTTGCATGTCTAATTATATAACAAAATTCTTCATATTTTCCAGAATAAATGAACTATGTTTTACTTAAAATCTTTTCTGCTTATCTGGATTATGCCTGAATAAGTTCTAAGACATTTTTTTTTCCCTTTGGGGTTTTCAGTAATGTGACCGTATCTTTTTGCATGAATAGAAATCATATGTGTGTACAAGTGTATGTTGGGAGTTGACTTGTCTGTGCAAGCACATGTGCTTTTCCACCTTATCTTCTGAGGTAGCCTCCCAATGAACCTGGAGACCACTGTTTATGCTAGTCTGGAAAGCACTGAGCTGCCAGGATCCATCAGTCTGTGTCTCTGGCACATTCTACCATACCCAGTTTGTTCATGAGGGTGCTGGTCATGCCAACTCAGGTTCCTCTGCTTTCACCAAGCACTTCATACACTGAGCCAACCTGCAAGTCCATGACTAGAAAATTCTGACTGAATGTTCCACACGGTCATTTTATAAAAAGAATTATCTGATGTTATCTCCCACCAGTGGAGGGTCATCTTTTCTTCTATGCAGATAGATGAAAGCAGCTAATAATTCCAGTGACTGTGATAAACAGAAGTTACACTGCAATTCTAGTAACATTAAGTCCATCTGTCTGTGCTGTTATCCTAATATATTCTGCCAGTGTTTTCAATAGAATGCAGGTATTTTTATTTAATTCGTAGCAATGAGAATGAGAACAGGATTTTCAAAAAGATTTCTTTTTTTTAAGACAAGGTCTCACTATGTAGCCTTGGTTGATTTGGAATTAACTATGTAAACCAGGGTTGTATAGAACTCAGATCTGCCTGCCTCTGTCTCCCAAGTACTGGGATTAAGGGCATGCACTATTCTAAGAGTGATATTTTTAAGACTATATCTTATATATTTAAACTGAGATCTTTATCTATTCTGAAAATTTTGAGAATCTGGTAAATGTCAATAATAGATTAGTTACAAGTTATTTTAGTACTACGCACCCACCAAAGGCTCTTGATTTTCTGATATCAAGGAAGAGCATACGTGAACTTCCCCTTCCAACACAGTCTGAGTAGCAAATAGTCTAAGAAAAAGTAAGCACTTACATAACAACTTGTATACATTCACTACATATAAAAAAAGGAAAAGGTATCGATTTAGAATGAAAACAAAATCGATATGTTGTAATAAAAAGATTACATTCTCTTAAATGATTCCACAATGAAGACAGTGGTGAAGACGGAAGACAGTAAAGGAAACCAGTGGGTGGGGAGGGAGGGTTCTAATAAAATCAGAACTACAACATTTATAAGGCTCCTTCCCTAAAATGGTAATAATCAAAACAAACATTTTAATTCTTAGATAATTGTATATTTAAATACTTGATTTACACTTATTTTGGATGCTATCTTCAACAGATAATATTGTACTACATTCAAAACAAGCTGTTAAGCTCTAACTATGTGATAGCTGCTATGTTTGATGCAGTCTCACTAGGAGCCCTGGCTGGTCTTCAACTCCCATGACTCCTCCTCTGCCTCATGAACGCTAGGATTCATAGTCAGGTGCTGCCATCCCTAATACCACTTTACAACAAGACGTATATAGGAACTTTACTACTTTAAATAACTATAAAAATTTTCTACCTGAATTAGTAAAATATTTTACATGTATCATATTTTTAAAGGAACGCTCATGTTTTTAAGACACATTCACTACAGAGAGTTCTGTTGTGTACTATTAATTTAGTATGTAACTGTGTGTGCATACGAAGGAGATGTGAGTATGGGTGCACACGAGCCATGGTGTGCATGTGGAAGTTGGAGGAACACCTTTTGGGGAGTCTCTTCATTCTCTCACCTTATTTCTGAGGCAGATTCTTCTTGCTATTTCTGCTCGATTTTCCTACTAGAGCACACTTCTTGTGCTTCTCCAGAAATGCTGGGATCACAGAATTGAACCACACCCAGCTTTTAGGGGTCCTGGGACCATACTCATGCTGTCAGGTTACACATTAATGTTTTTACCCTCTATACCATCTCTTCAGCCCCCAAAGTGATTCTTATGTTAGACATTTTTTTACTGTATTATTTAACGAATAAACAACATAATCAGCAGGAGATAGACAATATTAACATACTGAAATATAGGCACATGTCTTAGTGTAATCTTACTCAACCTTTAGTTTTTTTTTTTCAGGAAACTTAGAGTTAATACAAAATGAACTATTTTGCATGTTGCTGAAAAATTATTGATAACATTTTAAATCCATTACTAAACTAACACAGGTTATATAATAATGTAGCACTTGAATCTAGTATTTCAAACTTTCAAAGTAAGGTTACGTATCTAAACTTGTATTTTAGTGCTAGAGAGATGGCTCAGTGGTAAAGAGCATTGACTACTCTTCCAGAGGTCCCAAGTTCGACTCCCAGCACCCATATGGTATCTTACAAGCATCTGCAACTCCAGTTCTTGGGGTTCCAATGCCTTCTTCTAGACTCTGTGGGCAATGTGCACATATGGTGCACAGATATCCATGAAGGTAAAACCCCCCATACACATTAAATAACTGTTATTTAAGAATTGTATTTTAAATTAGAAACACTTGAAGTGCCTACCTCTAATTCTACATCAGCTCGCACATACTGTCGGGTCTTTGGATGATTAAGAAGGTGCAAAATTGTAGTAATGAGGGCCTCATTTATTCGACTTAATTGGCAATCAATCACATTTTTCAGGATGGTGTTTAGTCCGCCTCGAAGGGCTACCACCTCTGGGTTCTGAAGTGCTAAAATGAAAGAAAAACTAATTATATTCATAGTACTAAGCATTTAAAATCTGTACTTTTACTTAAATCTTACGTTTCCTTTTGGATTTGAAAATTTCTTACTAACTATATTTACAAATAAAAGATATTAGCTAAAAGTCATTTACTATCTCTTCCCCAAGCCTGATTTTTAAAATGTCTTTGAACAACTTTGTCATATTCTTCGGACACATTTTAATGAATGCTTTTTCTTCAATTTCAGAGTTCATTTTACTGTGGAGACATCGGCCCCTTTATAGGATATGTTATTTTACAATTTGCTTCAAGTGGTGTATATGATTTACTTTTATAAAAAAATCACATATGCATGCAAACATACACACATACATCTTTGTAACCTTAAGATGAAAAACTTCTGTCTCACTTTGAAGACCGAGACTGTTCCTTGCATGTACTTTGTGCTTTTTGTTGTGGAACTTGTTTTGGAAACGGTGTCAAAAGTAAGCACAGAGCCCAGACAGTCTCACAGGCACTATTCTGCCTGTAGCCTGAATGCTGGGAGTACAGGTGTCTGTCACCACATGTGAGCCTGACATGTAAGCATATTCATGAATTAAGTTCCATTTGTTTCAATATGTCATGAAATTGAGATTCACTAAGAGAATAAACTCAATTTTCCCCACAAATATTTTACTAATTATCCCAGCACGTTTCTCAAATTGATTTTTATACTTTTTTCTTCCTTTTTTGGAGACAGTATTGCAAGCTGGCTTTGAACGTGGTATCTTACTGGCTCTGTCTCCCAAGGACTGAGATGACAGGCATGTGTTATCATGCCCAGCTTTGGAAAATGTATTATTAATGATATGCCAACATGTTTTTCAAAATAATATTTACAACTTTTAAAAAAAAGCTTTTCTCTTAAGAAACGAGAGTGATAGCTGGGCAGTTGTGGTGGCGCATGCCCTTAATACCAGCACCAGGAGGCAGAGGCAGGCGGATCTCTGTGAGTTCAAGGCCAGACTGGTCTACAGAACGAGTTCCAGGATAGCCTCCAAAGCCACAGAGAAACCCTGCTTAAAAAAAAAAAAAGGTAATATTAATAGTTCCTAAAAATAATATGAAAAGAAGGTTTCCTTTCTCCTTCACATATTTTTTTTTCCAAAAATCTTTCTATAGTTTCTTCTGTCATGTCTATTCTCCTGGATGATTTTAGAACTACGTTTTCTCAAGTTAGGTAAAATCACACAGAACCATGGTGCATACATCTTAATGGCATGGGTCAGTGATAATCTGAACAGTTATACCGACTGCCCAAGACTGCTTCGTGTGGAACTTAACTGTGTGAGAAGTTCCAATGTGCTCCCTCTAATGTCGTCACTGCTCTCATTCTCTATGTACCTTAGTTGTATCTTCTTGAAACACAATTTGATACACTCAAAAGTATCTCATATACATGTATCATCGTATTTCCTATGTATTTCTTATGTTTAATCTATTTTGATTACTTCTGAAATATATCAAATTTAAATTTTCACGATTCCACCAAGTACTCCCTTAGGTCATTTCTTCACTGGATTCAGTTTTCTCAATATATGTTTACACTGACAACTAGCTGCTTTCCAATATCTAAACTTCATTTATTACTTTATTGATAACATGGTAAAAAGTTTTAGACAATGTTTACTAAGAATGGGGTCTCAAAACACCAGGTGCAAAGTGACTAAGGAAGACGCTGACTGTCAACCTCTGCCCCTCACATGTATGTGCACACACATCACACACACCCATACGAAAAGGCTAACGCCAAGTGCTGATTGAATAGGAATTATCCTTTCTCTTCCATTATTCTTTTCAAAAGTGTCCTCATGGTTTCTTCGATGACTTTCAAGATGAGTTCCTTCTCTGTTCTAAATAGCACTTTAATAACTAACATATTACATTACCTTACCCTAAGTATAGCTTTTCAGGTATGCCAGGCATTGGCATGCAGCAAAATATTTTTGTCCATAAAACATTTATGACTTCCGTTCTAGGCTATCAAAGAAGTAGCCTTCTAATTGCCTTTCTAGATATAATGTGCTCTTTTAGTTTATTATTTTACAAAGGTATGTCATTGAGCTTTTTAGAGCCAATAATCTGACCAGTGTTTGCAATCACACCTTTGGACATATTCTACTTTTGTGTGACTAGATACTAACATTTATTTTAAAAATCCCATTTCTTTCAGTGAGTTTTCAAGCATTTTTGCTAAATAATAAAAAAAAACCATCTGTTTAAAAGAACAACTATTACATTCTTCTACTTTATTAATGAATTTCTCAATTTTACCACTGTTTGAATCCTACCTATAAGTCCTCTTGGGTATTTATTTCCCTTCTTTCTTACTCTAGGTTGCTCACCCATTTACATTTGCTTCATTTTAAACATCAATCAATATAGCTTTCTAGGCATCCGATACATGGGTATATTGTAAAATTTTACAATTTTCATACTAATTGTAATCATATTTCTGATCTTGTTTCTACACCAGGTATTAAAGAAAGTGTTTTTGGTCTTCTGTGGCTCTTTTTTTTTTTGTAACTTAAACTTTATTAATTTATTTATCACACCAAGAAGAAATATGATCTCCAAAATTTGTACTTTTGGTAATACAAAAAAAATCATCTTAAAATTATATTCCACTGATAACAAAGGAGGTTGAATTTTTACAAATCAGCCATGGAGGTATTTAGGGATTATCTGTGTTTAATATTTTATTTTACGTTTGTCAATAGTCTTTTTTTGGTTCCTTAAACTGTGTAGCTACTAAAATCCATTTATGATTTATTTGATAATTCAAAATTAACTTTCCTCTCAATGCCCCTATAAACACAGATTCATGTTTTTACTCTGCCCCTTTTTACTCTAATATCAGATCTGTAATAAAAAGGGTTACCAGAATTCATTTTTTGTTCTGTAGACTATTACTTTAAACCATATCAAGATATACTATCATCAATGTCAGAAGGATAGACTACTAGACATCATTATCATTATTACTGGATTACAATCATATTTCATGATAATACATTTGAAAATTTATAAATAATATGGATTTTGAATTTTTAAATAACACATCTTCTACTTTCCATTCAGAAATGAACATTTTCTTATTTTTACAGCAATAAAGCATTTTTCTTTTAAAGACATTAGGGAATGTTATATACACTGTATAAAACACTTCATTACTTCAAGAAAATTCTGACCTAGTTCACAGATAATGGCAATGCATGCCCGGACCATTCTGTCTCTTTCTTGAAGTCCATCATTTCCAACTGCAATTAATGAGTTGGCCACAGAACTAGGAAACAAGGAAGCGTTCACAGTAATCATCTGTAACAGAGAAGAAGCAGAAGATAAGTCATTTACTTTTTAGTACATTTTAAATCTTATTTTATTCAGATGGAGATAGTTGAGGCACCAGGAATCATTCAGCTTTGTATGAACATCCCAAACAACTGTTTTAACCATGAGGGCCTCTATCAATATAACCAAAAGTAAATATTAACAATAATTACCATGGAAATGTTCCTGATTCTTTACTAATAATCTAAAACTAAACTAGTTGCTAAACCATATTGTTTCTAAGACTCCAAGTCCCTCCAGAATAGGAGAGGCACTTTACACAGCTCCTCAGTGTTCAGAATGCCGCTCAGGGACATGCCGTGGTGGACATATAACTGCTGCTCTATCATCACCATGCCCCTGCCACTTACCTCTACTCCTGTCTCCTGATCAAACTGAGTTGAACCTCATTTGTCAATAATCTTTAGCTACCATTACTTGTTGCTATGCCAAAAGGTAGACCGACTAACCCAGACTCTTTTCTTTTTTTTTTTGGTTTTACGAGACAGGGTTTCTCTGTATTGTTTTGGAGGCTGTCGGTCCAGCCCAGCCTCGAACTCACAGCAATCCGCCTGCCTCTGCCTCCCAAGTGCTGGGATTAAAGGCATGCACCACCACTGCCCAGACAGACTCTTTTCTTGATACGTGAAAAATTCTGAGGTAGGTCGTGTATGTATCTTATGATAAAATTCTGCGTGAAACTCAAATCAAGGGTTGAATTGGCAATAACATTAACTGCACTTCTAGAAACAGGTCCAGAATATCTACCTTTGATTTAAAAAGCTGGAAGAAAATAAAGCATGTGGCAAACTACTGTTTAATACAGACTCTTTGGTAGATCAACGATTCCAAAATAACAGCCTAGGGTAGGAAAAGAGAAAGTTATATTTTGACAGGGAGAAAAGAACTTGTTCTGGATGTTACTGGAGTTAGAAGCCTACTAGAATTAAAATTTGTGTTCTGACATAGGGTACAAGATGGCTAAAGAAAGACTGTCAGGTAAGGTTATGAGGACCAAAGGAATAATCTGTGCTGGTCAGCCTGGCTGTAATACAGGGGATTTATGTCATTTAAACAGCAGTTAAGTAATACTACACAGTTCAACTGAAATTAAAGAATACAATTTCACAATCATAAAATAAACCCATTTCCAATCACTAGAATCTAAGTAAGGTTTCCTAGTTATTTCTCAACCAATTCTTCCCACTAACCAGATAAAGGGAGGATGAAGGTAGCAAGCTGGAAGAAAGTGGTCTTCCCGGGGAGGAAGAATCTAAGCCTCTCATATTTAAATCATACATTTTTACTGATGCATTAGTATGTTATATATAGTCCTTGTGTTCATAAAAAGACTTCCACTAAAAGACTCGAAGATGGATCAGGAGTTCCAAGTACAGCTACTCTCCCAGAAAACCAAACTCATTTCCTAAGACCCACTGTGGACAGCTAACACTCACCCATGACTCTAAATGCAGTGGCATCCAGAACCTCTGGCTTCTGTACTTGTAACCACGTGCATATACCATTTGCCAGCTACATACATAACTATTAAAATTTGTTTTAAAAGAATCATTGGGCAGTGGTGGCACACGCTTTTAATCCCAGCACATGCATGGTGTCCTAAGACTACAGCTTAGATAGATACGGTTGGCAGAATCAAGGTAGACAGGTTGTTCTTAACACTCATTGGTCAATGTAGCTTTGGAAATTTGGACCCTGGGTTATCACTGTGGCTTTCCCACTATCTAGTGATGTAGTATATCAAGGAGCATGTGATTCCACCAAATGAAATCCTTACAGGTACAAATGAAAGAAAACAAGAGTACTAATTCCTATTAGTATTAATTTCTATTTTATGAATAAAGAAATTCCACATAGCAATGATAAACTAGCATGGTAAAAAGTAGACTATATTGGTGTGTGTGTGTGTGTGTGTGTGTGTGTGTGTGTGTGTGTGTGTGTGTGTGTGTGTGTGTAGGGATACGCATATGTGTACATGTCCCAGTATGTGGAAGCCAGAGGCCAATGTTGGGACCTTTTCCTCAGTTACTCTCCATATTATGGTTTGAGACAGGGTCTCTCATTGTTATCTGTAGCTTACTGACTCAGCTAAGCTAGCTACCCAAGAACTCTAGGGATCTGCCTCATTACCCTCTCTCCACCACTGGGATTATGCATGCAAGCCACTATATTCAACTTTTTACTGGAGATCTGAACCCTGGTCCTAATGTTTGGGCAGAAAGTGCTTTACAGACTGAGCCACCATCTTGCCAGCACTAGTAGAATTTTAATGAGAAAAAGAAGCAGGAACAGTTGACCAGTGGCAAAACTATGCAGAAAATATTTATGACAAAACCAGAAGGAATACCAGCTAGAAAAACATCAGAGACATTGAAGAAAAAAGACAAATAGAACCTTCAAATAAATGAGACAGGTAACAGAAAAGGGAAAGTACCATAAGTATTCCCTAATTATTCATGGACTCAGTTACCCTATGGCCAAAAGAAGTTTTCAAACATGCTTGCATGCATATAAAACAAAGAACCAACAAAGTAATAATAAAATAAATGTTTGGAAAAAAAGAATTAACGAAGCAGAGAGATAGCTTAGTGATTAATGTTGGCTGCAGCTAAGTCTGAATACCTGAGTTCACACCCTGGGACCCACACAGTGGATGAAGAAAACTCACTCTTGCAAGTTGCCTTCTAGCAGCCACACATGCACACATGCAGACACACTATCAACGCATACATTTTTTAAAAAATTAACTTTAGGAGGAACTGAAGAAATAGTTCAGCCAGTAAAAAGCCTACTGAGTAAGGATGAGTTCCTGAGTTTGATCCCCAGCAACTATGTTATAAGGCTGCAACAGAGCCCATCTCTAACTCTAATGTTGGGTTTAGAAAAAGGCAGCTCTCTGAACTTTATTGAGAAGCCAGTCTAGTCTAAAATTTAAGCTCCAGGTTCAAGGAAATGCTGAACAGACAAGAATGCAATTGAAGAAAAGAATAGACACAGATCTCTGGCCTACAGCTCCCCTGCATGGTCAGCAGAAGAGTACTGTTAAGATAGGAAACATACACCTTTGATGCTAAAAGTACTGATAAAAGGAATAGTTTCTATGGCCCATAAATTTATTCATCAATCATGCCTTACTCTTAGCACTATTAGCTAAATGAAAGAGAAACCAAACACTTGAGCTCCTTCACTTAGCCTATAGCTACTACCAAAGTACTGGTAATTTTCTGGATATTGCATTTTTAAGTAATACCAGATACTAATGATCCTGTATCTCCAGGCTTATTATTTTTAGCAACATAAAGAGAGGCACTATTAGGAGGTATGGCTTTGTTGAAGTAGCTGTGGCCTTGCTGGAGAAAGTGTGTCACTATGGGAGTGGGTTCTGAGGTCTCTGCTCAAGCTACACCAAGTGACACAGTTCACTTCCTGTTGCCTGTGAATCAAGATGCAGAATTCTCAGCTCCTTCTCCAGTACTATGACTGCCCACATGCTGCCATGTCCCAATACAGATAATGAAATAAACCTCTGAAACTATAAGCACCCAAATTAAATGTTTTCCTTTTTAAGAGCTGCGATGGGTCATGGTCTTCAGAGCCAGAGAAACGTTAACTAAGAGACTCTCCAATATCACTTATTGGAATTTCAATCTTTTTTAAAAAACAAAACAGAACAAAAAAATATGCATTTCCTTATTCCTTAGTATAGGAGAAAAAAGAAGGAAAGGAAAAAACAGCATATTAACTCTACAGTCCATCATCCAGAACATACAATGAATTTAAAGGTAAGATAAAGAAGAAACAGTTAATAAATTCAAGTATAAAATAATTTTAAGCTGAAGACAGTGGTACACACCTGCAAGTCTAACATTAAGGAGGCTGAGGCAGGAGGATCAAGAGTTTGAGACCAACTTGGGCTACAAAGTGTATTTCACCCAGCTAGAGCCATATAGCAAGACCCAGTTCTAAAATAGTATTAGACATTTTCATATTCACAAAAATATAACTGCATTAGTTTTATGAATTAGTTTCCTTCAGAAGAAAAGATATGGTACTTGTCTTAGGATGTGTCCCAATCAAATTTACTTTCTCTTCACTTTTCCTGGCTGGTCACAAGGACATCACATCATCAACAAGTGAAAGTGAAACCTGTGAAGGAATCCCAGAAGCTTTGTGGATAGCCTTGAATCAAATTCTTTCCTCAGCTTCAACAGTGACATTTTATATAGGAAAGCTTCTGTGCGAATTGTTTATCACTTACATAGGAAAGCACCACAATTTCCCATGGGCTATCTACAAACTTATCTTGAAAGCAGTGCACTCCCGTTTGAGACATTTTATACTGCTAGATAGGAAAAAAATCACACAGTAAAGGATGACAAAGAAGGGTGGGGGCATTACCCTTTCTCTAACAATAAAGCAGTAAGTACATTTATATGTCAGCTACAGACAGAAATATTGCTCAGCAGAGTCATTTTCTAAGAAGCTATCCTCAATCACATAAACCAATTAAAGAAATACTCATGCTTACCACAATGTTTAACAGATCAACTTACTTTATAACAAATTAAAATGTTTACTGAAAATTTACTCTTCAAATCTTAATAAAAATTTTCTACGACCATCTAAATACGGAAGCATTTAACATAGAAGCACTCATTTGTCTTGATGCTCTTACATATGACACATACCTTTCTGACTAAGCGAAGTGCTTGTGTCCTCTCCACCTCATTGCTCTGCTGGATGTCAATGCACCTAAATAATGCAAAACATCAGTCACTGAGAAGCCTTATGTAACAACACCTTGTAGAATGTTAGATCTGATTATTCTCCTAATCCAATATAGTGAATCAAAACTTCAAAAAACTATAGCATACATGTTTTCCCAGTAACATCAAATATTTAACTACTTATCTCTAGTAATAAATGTTACCAGACACATCAGTTAAAATATCATAGGAAGCTGGGCGTTGGTGCCACACACCTTTAATCCCAGCACTTGGGAGGCAGAGGCAGGTGAATCTCTGTGAGTTCCAGGACAGCCTCCAAAGCCACAGAGAAACCCTGTCTCAAAAAACCAAAAAATAAAAAATAAAATATCATGGGAAAAAAGGTGATACATCTATAAAGAATCACAATATACAGAAAAAATTTACCTACCTGATTAAAAAAGTCATAGTAATATACATAAATTATATAGGGAAATATTTCCAGCTTGTTTTAATCAAGGCTTAAATTCTGTCTATAATGACTATCTTATTCAATGTAAGAATCCTATTTTAGCTGAGCGTAGTAATGCACCTTTAATTTCAGCACTGGGAGGCAGAGGCAGGAGGATCTTTTGTGAATTCGAGGCCAGCCTGGTCTACAGAGTGAGTTCCAGGACAGCCAGAGCTATACAGTGAGATCCTGTCTTGAAAAAAAACAAAAAGAATTCTGTTTTACCAAATAATTTGAATTCAGAATTCTCTTCAAAAACATTTTATCACTTAGTTAATATTTCCTTTTAAAATGTAATAACATAAAATTTGAAAGAGTGTTTTACATAACAAATTTTCTTTTCAATATTTACATTAGGCAGTTTAGTACTTTAATCAATATTTTATAGATAGGTAAGTTATTCAAAAGCATTTCTGTTCTGTCTAAATATATTTAAAAAGTAAGTGAAGGAGCACTAGAATGTGGCCACTTATTCAAGCCAGCAATACAGACAGACAGACACATACACACACAGACATAGACACACACACAGACATAGACACACACACACACACACACACACACACACACACACACACACACACACACACACACACAGAACATCACGCCTACCAGATTTATGCTAAAAATGCCCTTAGGCTTATGTGATCATTTGTTTGTAAAACTTACCAAGCTTTATACCAAAGTCTGTACATATTTGATACTATGCTGAAACGCAACACGAAACTTTATAAAAACACATGAAACATAAGCAACTCTAGGAAAATTACCTAGCTATTAAATAGTCCACTTTCAATTTTAGCACCTTCTGCAGAATACTGGAATCTTGGATGAGATATCGCAGTGCTCGCAACCCTGCTGCTCTCACTTCTTTTGCTTCGTTTAATAAAGCTAAACGCAAACTGCATGAAAACAAAACGATTTGTTATTGCAACATGAGTTTCAAAGACACACAAAATTTCAGTAGTTTACTCAGTCCTCATCTGAAATGCTTGGGATGAGATGTGGGATTCGTGGTATTTTTATTTTTTTAACAGGGACTACATTCAAGGCTATGCCAAACTGAGTATCTCTCATCTGGAAACCTAGAACACGAAAACTTTTTGACACTTGAGATAACTAACAAAGTCTCAGACTTTGGAGCATTTCAGATGTTTTCATACTTCAGGATATTCACCCAGATCAAGTTCTTCCTCAGCTGAGGTTATCCCAAACCTTTAGTTATGTAAGATTAATTCTATAAAACAAGACAAAAACAAGCAAACAAAAAACTTTACTTGTTGTATCTGTGTTTCCACAAGTCCCAAAGAATGATTAGTTTAAATCAATAGCCAAGATCTTTAATTATAGCAAACACATATCACTAGTCATCGTAACTCTTAAGAACATCAAAAAGTAGTAATGAAACTGCCTAATCAATAACCTACTAGCATGTAATGAATTTGTAATAGGTATACACTTTCTTAGAGAAAATCTAGATTTATTGGTTCACATTATTCCTTGGAAAAGTGAGAGAAATTCAGTCTGCAAATTCAATATTTACTTTTAACCTTTAAAGAAGTCTGGGTATTTTTGACCAGTAACTTTAGTTCTTTGTATCTAGCAATCACAAAGGCTCAACTAAGGCTCATGACACAAAAAAGTCACTAAAGATCCTGAATTTTTCTTCTGGCTAACCACCATTTCTACAGCATGTGGTGCTGTTATCCTACCTTTAATTGAAGCTGTTAAAATGGAAATTAATAAAATAAGGGAGGGGAGACTGAACTAAACTTACCAAATTATGATGTCTTCATAATTAAAGCCCAGTTTTTCTTCGCTATGGCCAATATCACAAAGAAGCTGTTAGAAGAAACAAAAAGTACCTTGCATATGAATTTAGATTTATACACATTTATATGCACAATTTTAGGCTCAAATTGAGAGCACTAGTTACAAGTAAGCCACACGGGTGACTGACTACATGTGGTTCTAATTTAGGTCTGAAATTTGAAAATTGGTTTCTATTCAAAAACTGGATAAAACTTTCTCATATATTGGGACTAACTGAAATGGATTAAAGAAAAAGTAACAACTCAAAAAGGTCCCCAAAGTGTTATTAATCTTCTACATTATGATGTCCTTAAAGTAAAATCCTAGGTGATCTTGGTATTTGTTACTATGAAAAGAATAAACTCTAATAACAAGTTGACAATTTTACTATTCTTTCAGTAGCATACAGGTAAAACACCTTCGCAATCTCTTCACAGATAGAAAAGGAAGGAAGGAATGGGGTAGATTATCAGGGAATTTTTTTTAAAGCTCAAAATAGAACAGGTGAAGATAGCAATAAAATGGCTACTGTCAGTTACTGCATTATTACAGAGTCCTTCGTTTTAGAATATGATGGACAAAGATTTCAGGTTTTGTAGTTGTTGTTTGTTTGTTTGTTCTCACTCTTTGGGAATCTATCACCCAGCTCCCAAATGAATATATGGAGACTTACTATTACTTGTGAACGTCCGGCCTTAGCTTGGCTTGTTTCTAGCCAGCTTTTCTAACTTAAATTACCGTTTCTCTTTAACTACATTTTGCCTCTGGGCCTTTACCTTTCTTTATTCTATATGTCTTTCTTTCCTTCTTACTCCATGGATGGCTGTATAGCTGAGTGGCTGGCCCCGGTATCCTCTCCTCCTCCTTTTCGTGCTCCTTTTTCTCTTCCCTAGATTTCTCCTCCTATTTATTCTCTCTGCATGCCAGCCCCACCTATCTTTCCTCCTGCTGAGCTGTTGGCCATTCAGCTCTTTATTAGACCAAGCAGGTATTTGAGGCAGGCAAAATAACACAGCTTTACAGAGTTAAAGAAGTGCAACATAAAAGAATGCAACACATGTTTTTGCATCATTAAACAAATCTTCCACAACATCAAAGAAAGGAACACATCTTAAACCAAGGTTTTCAAAAGAATAAGATTTTTTTTAAATTTTTATGTTTTAATATATAATGCTCCTAGTAATTAAAACTAAAGAAGGACAATTTTAAAGAAATACACATATACTTAAAACAGTAGTATTTTTCTAAGTTTTAAGACCACATGAAAATATTCTGTATCTTCACATGTCTTTTCCCTGTACACATCTGAGTCCTCATCCCTTCTAAGGACAGAAGTCATAACGCATTAGATCGGTCTTTATTTCCTCATTTTTTCCTAACTTGCCTTTTCTAAGGGTCCTAATCCCCAAATATACTCCTATTTTAAGTTCTTAAGGGCCAGAACTTAAAATAAAAATATTTAGAAAGAACAAAATACAGAACACTAACTTCACCTGGAAAGTTAGCATAGATGCTTATAATATGAAAATGGGGAAAAACTATAGTAAAAAGCAGAAATAAAAATGCACAAGAAATTTGAAAAATAAAGTAAATTTTAAAATTCCATTTAAAATTGATTTTTCAAAGACTTGCTTTTAAACATAATACCATATAAAAACTTATTTCTGAAAAGGATATAAACTAATAATACCTTGCTAACTTTGGAAAAAGCATCAGAAGCAAATGTACTTTTGTATATTTATAAACATTACATATATGCTATTAAATTCTAATACTAAAGAACTGCCCCTTCATTAAAGACTTCTCTTTGCAACAGATGGAGAGCATTACAAAAAACACAATGGATCAAAATGCAGAGTTATGGAGCCCAGTCCCAACTTATGTGTCAACAACAAAACTCCTACACCCAAGATTCAGAGGTGGAAAAATTTTAAGAGCTACAAGGACAGGTAGTTTGCTACGAGATTGTGTCTCCTAGGAGTGTCAGAGACACTATCCCCAGGAAGTCTCCCAAATATGGCTGCCTAACCATGCAATGAACAAGGAAGACAACCACAACTAAATAGGTTATAGAGGAAGGTGGAAAGCTCAGGGGACCTCATCCCTGGACAAAGAACTGTACAACTAGGGATTGCTGAAAGTCATATCCAGGAAAAAAATAGCAAAAAAATTAGTCCTGAACATAAACATACAAGAAGCATTATACAGATAGAGCAGCTTATATTCATGTAATTAGAAGTGTGTGTGCTGTAATTAGAAATACACGTGCACACCAATTAAAGGAAAACGTGTGCAGCTTGCACGCACACACACACACACACACACCAATAATTAAAGGAAAAAAGGCCATGTATTTGAAAGGGGTACATACATGGGAGGGTTTGGAGGGAGGAAAGGCGACAAATGATGTAATTATATTAAGATCTCAAAAATGTTTAAATTGGACATGAAATTCTAATAAAAGAACCATATGCATTCATTACTATACCATGCCAGAACTGGCCCCAGAACCTATCATGCTAGGCTAGAGCTATATACTACAGTCACTTCTTCCCCCCTCTTAAACTTTGAGACAGAGTCTGACTAAAGTGCCAGGATAGGTCCTTCAATTTCAGTTACATGTATATGTTCTTATTTATTTATAGTTTGTGTGTAGATGTGTGAACACACATATGTACCACCATTAAGTGTGTAGAGGTCAGTTCTCTCCTTCCATCATTTGGGTCCCTAGGATTGAACTCAAGTCATCAGGCGTGACAGCAATACCCACTGAGTCATCTCACTAGTCCCAAGCTATTGAGATCCTTTTGCCTTGGCCCTCAAAGAAGCTGGAATGACAAACTGCACCACCACGCCCAACTCTTAGAAGGTAATTTACACATACACACACACAGAGACGAATATAAAAATTAGAATATTATTTAGAAAAGGAAAGCATTTTACGGTATACTGCAATGTGAAAAGAATTCATGCTGCAAGTAAATATACATAGGTTTGCACATATAAACCTATATTTATAGACATTTACATTTTAAACTCACTTAAAAATACATGGTATAGTTGGGCAGTGGTGGTGCATGCCTTTAATCCCAGCACTCAGGAGGCAGAAGCAGGTAGATATCTGTGAGTTCAAGGCCAACCTGGCCTACAGAGAGAGTTCTAGGACAACTAAGGTTACACAAAGAAACCCCCCCCAAAAAAAGACAGAAAGCATTGTATATACTTAATAAATTGTAAATAAAACTGAGCATGTTCTAAAACACTTTCAGTTCGTTTTATTCTTATAACATAAATTAAAAACGCTCACATAAACATATTCACACATTGTTACCAGAAAAAGGTCAGTATCTTCTAGCCATAAGCTCCAAAAACCTGATAGAATACTTTGAAGGGGGAAGGATAACAAAGGAGAGAAGGCTTTCACTCTTTACTGTAAAATCTCTATACCATTTTCATATTTTATAAAACAAGCACGCGCACATGCGCGCACACACACACATACACGCACGCATGCACACCTGCCTTAATTTTTTTAATTGCAAATAAAGATGTTTTCAGAGTGTTTAAAAATTTTAGAATGGAAATGGCCTAACATATTCTCATCTTTAGAAGACAGGTCTTTAGATTGTGAACATGTTGTCTGTCTTAAAAATAGAGCACTAAGATTATATTCATCATCAGTCTACTATACACATTGCTATATCTAGTAAGATGATGTCAGAGGACAAGCATGGTGTGGCATTCACATAATAAAAAGATCACACAGGTATGAGAAGTTTTAAAGAAAGAAGTTAACCCTGTACAACATTACCAAATTCAATATGTGCTTGGTAAATGAATAAATTTTATAACAAAATCCAAACACATTTACTGCAAGTTATTCCTAGAGACATTTTTGCTTATCACCAATGGGGTGTGTAAGTAAATATTCCAGTCATAGAGTGGGTAGAGCCAGAAACTAGGCTCAGCTTCTCCAAAGTAATTACCTGATACATTAAGTCAAGAGTGCTAACACTGAAAACCCCTCATCTACAGCCTACAACTCAACTACTAAACAGGCTTATCTTCTTAGAGTTAATGAAAAACTAGCAAACAGCTAAGGAGTAAAAATCCAAGTAAGACAAGCCCCAAGTTGCCATGCACTCTGCTATAGAGCTATCTCACAGGCCCATGGTTCCACATCTAAAGACATTAACATTCTTGTGCATTCCCCCAGGACTGCTTTGCTAGTTTCTTGGGTTGGACTGTAAATTTTGAGCTAAAGCTTCATGCTTCCACTATATTACTAAGTAGTCAAAGTAAATTTTATCAAGTTTAAAGCTAATGAGTTTCTTTATGAAGCAGTGCTTTAGACTCGGGACTTGTTCCTGTAGATATTTCTCTACTGGTTTCACAACCCACAAGTGCTACTCACCTTAGTGAAGTTATTCAGATGGCCCAACTTTCTCATATTTGATACTCCTTGCAATTTGGCCACATTTTGGAGGATCTCCCTTAAGTTATCAGATGGTTCTGGCAGAAAATACAAAACCCTTTAACATAAGTTTAAGAACATTAACATAATCAAACATAGAAAATATGCTGTGTCAAACCTCCACAATGTTGGTTCTCAGATTATAGTCTAATCCTTCACCCCAAAATCCACGCATTTAGTTAACTTCAAAGTTCAATTCCCTTCATATGTCCAGTGTACTCACATATACCTATTGTTCAGTACTGTGTATCACTTGGAATTATTCAACCACAAAATCATAAATCTCAACATAACTTTCATTTTTGGTTGTTAGGTAGCAACAGAGACCAAGTATAATGCCCAGTTTTAATTAGCCAAAACATAAGATAAAATATTTTTAGGGTATAGTTTTCACAACACTGGACATATTCAATTAACAACAATTCCTAAAAAATGAGCTAAATGCTTTAAACGTTTTCAGGTATTGTAACAGGGAAGGAAAATCTAGGCAAACTGAGTTAAAGACAAAAAGCTAAGTGTTCAGAGACCACCAATTACTAGAGAAAGGCTCTGCACAGACAAAGAACTCTGAAGATTTGGCAAAGGGGCTTGTGGAAACAGTCACTGCAGGAGTGTCAGGATAACGAGCAAACCTGGAGGATGAATATCCTTCCTTACAGCCAAATTAAAAAGCACTGTGACAAACAAGTGAGTATTGCCAGTTTAATAAAAACAGTAAGTCGTAAATTCAGGATTCCAAGCAGAGGGAACATGAAGAAATTAGACAAAGACATACCATAAATAAATTGCTCAATACTGCTGAAAGAGGATCAGCAAGATGGCTCAGCAGGAAACCAAGCCTGATGGCCTCACCCGATCCCCCCATGCCATGTAAAGGTGGGAGGAAAGGAACTTCATGCATCTGCCTTCTGACCTACACACGTGTGCTGTAGCGTGCACACCCAAGGGCTCACAATAATAGAATTCCACTGAAAGTCTATGAGTAGAAAAACGTATCACAGTTCACCTGCTTTACAAAAGCAGGCCAATGACCAGATATGGTTCTGCAGTAGTTTACCAAGTCCTCAAAAACAACAGAAAATTTCTCAATCTATTAATACTTTCATATCTTGTTTTAAATAAAACAAGGGCAGAGTCTTTAAAATTACATTATAACTTTGCTCATATTTTAGTTAAGAGCCATTGTAACTTATTTTAAGGTTTTAAAAAAGACTTAACTATTTGTTATAATTTGTGTTTTCCTTACCAAATGAAACTGTCCTGCATTTAGCTTCTTATTCTACCTGATTTCACTATAATATGTGGTGTTGGCCATCACAATGATGATACCCCAGTTTTAGTACCCAAAACTGCTAATTCCCTTTGCTTTGACAATGAAACCTGCTAAAATCATTCTCTATCTTTCTATCTTCATCTCTTATAAATTTAATTTAGTTTTATGTGGGTTGGCAATGGGCTGAATTAATGACTTACACATCTACCTTAAAAGTAGAATGAAAGCATAACACTGAGATCAGAATCTTTTAAAAAAATTATAAAGGCCTGACTTAGATCACTACTGGTACCCTGTAATATCGCTTTGTTGTTCTAAATTGTATCTATAGAGAATGAGGAAAGAAAAATGTTAATCATTTAAACAATGTTTGAGAAGATCAAGAACTTTTTAACAATCTTTAAGATAATATAACTTAGAACCCATGCAGCTTTCAGAGTCAAAGAGCAAAGTCCAAAAAAAAAAAAAAAGTTAGGAACCAAAGAATTCCTCAAGTGACAAGATATTAGTCACTCCTGCCTAAATAATACAGGAGACTCAGCTTTAAGACGACTGCTGTAGAGAGAGGCATCACAGATGAAACTGTTGACATTTTAGAAGTACAGTCTGTTATTAAGGGTACAATCTTCTCACAGGTCACTCATCAACAACAATCAACTGAGAGCTTAGTTTTCTCAGCTTCCATCTCAGGCACTGTGGACACAGGCATGTGCAAAAGCCTGGTCTCTTCTTATACATATACTTCCCACATAAGAGAGAAAAAGGCTGCATTCAACAAGCGCCTCAGACTATAAGAGTGTAACACAAAAAATAAAAACCCAGAGACAGATAATGGGGTTCAAGCTGAACATCAGCGAAACAAAGCAGCTGGCCACTAGCTCTTACCTCTACCTCAGACTGAAATGATTGGTCCTGTCTCAATGAGCTCTCACCAAGCCTCAGACCACTGCTGCCTCCTCACAATGTGGCTGGAGACTGTCTCATGAGACCCTTTGGTTCTTCCCTTTTTAACATTCAAATTCTAGGACTTGAGGTGTGTAATCGGAAGTGCTGTGATCACCTTTGTGTGAGCTGTTTCTCTTTAGGACTGGATCGATTCCGGTAGTTCAGTATGGTCTTGAATTAACAGAGATGCATCTGCTTATTTCGAGTCCTGATATTAAAGGTGTATGCCACCACTGCCTGGCTCAAAGGCTCGCTAGTATGGCTGCTGGGATTAAAGGTGTATATCATCACCATTGCCTGACCTCTATGGCTTGTGGCTGGCTTTGCTTTTCGAACCCTCCAGCAAGCTTTAATAAATCATAAATAATATATCACCACATAAAAGTATTTCAGTTTCTTTGTAAATAGTTGGTGAAAACAGTTCCCCTAAACAGCATGTTACTTTCCAAGGCCAACTCAAAACATTAAGAAGGCCTTTCAGACACGAAGATACTATGTAACACTCACATGCTACAATGTTGCAATCAGGGAATGCCAACTTATGTCAAAGATCCCCTGGTAATGAAATGAGAAATTTCTAGTTTCTTCTTTCTCTGTTAAACTAGGATTTGATAAACCTTTTCTGTAGAAGTCTCAGATAAAAGCCAAAGTAGACTTTATAGATCATAAAGTTTCTTGGTATGTAAATAAATAAAAATAGTTTTGTGTTTTAGTCCAAACTTCCATGAAACAGAAACACTGTATAGGTGTCTTAAGAACCAACATTTTATTCTTACAGTTTTGGAAGCCTCAAGCACAAGGGCAGAGTCAATTTGGTGAGTTAGAGGGAGGCCTCTTTTCCTTTATTTCCTCACATGGTGGAGAAAAGGGACTAGACAAAAGACCCTCTCACTATCTCATGATCTAAGTATCTTCCCAAGGTTCAACCTCCTACAGCAGCAGGGGACCAGGGTTTCAACACAGAAATCTGAGGTGGATACAAACATTTCCTTCATTGGACTGTACCTCAGTAAAACAGACTTGGAATAAGAGCAGTAGTTTCAGCATGTTTTCTTGATGGTCTACACCTATAATTCCAGAAAGATTAGGAAATCAAACCCTATCTTGGCCACACTGAGAGAGTAAGTGGAGAAGATTATGTAATGACTAACAATATTAATTCAGACTTTATGTTCCACAGCATGTGCATTCCTGTTGTGTTTTTTTGAGACAGGATCTTGCAAAGCAACTCTGAATGGCCTTGAACTCCAAAGTAACTCTCCTGCTTCTGTCTTGTTTGCTTTTCCAAACAGAGTGTCTATCACTACATAGCCCAAAACTGGCCTCAAATTAACAATCCTCCAATCTCAGCTTCCAAGTACTGGGATTACAATCCCTACCATGTCCAGCCTTTCCACATTGTTTTTTTATGAATATAAGTAAAAAAGAGAAAATGTAGTTTCAAAATAATTATAATAAAAATGTTCTATATATTTTACTGTGCTATATAAGAATCACAGTATACACACATGCAGCTTTTGCCAGAGTATCACATATTATTTTATTTAAATTAGAAACAAGCTTGTTTCACATGTCAACCCCAGCTCCCTCTCCCTGCCCTCCTACCCTGCCCCCAACTCCCCCCCAACTCTCTACCCCATTCCCCCTCCACTCCCCAGGAATATCACCTATTTTTGCCACCACAAATTTTATCTACATATGATAAAGCTTGTTTTGTATAGTGCTTCTGAATAGAAAAGTAACTTTTGGTAAAAGAAAAATTTTTAAAAAGGAAATAAACGAGAATATAAAACCATCTAAAGTTCCTGGGATAACTAATTTTACTTGCCAACCTGACTAGATTAAAGACGGTGAGCGCATGTGAGAGTATGCATCACATCCACATTCATACCAACAGACTCGTATGTGAGTCTGAGTAGACTAACTGGGGAAGATCTGGTCTAGGTGTGGCAGAAGCCCTCTCCAACTGGCCAGGCACTGGACTATAAGAACTGAGGAAACAAAATGAAAATAAGAGGAATCACTTATATGAAGGGCAAAAATGAAAAAGTCAGGCATCACCAAATGCTGGAGAGGAAGAGGCCATTAAAGCTCTTATGTAAAAAGCTGCATTCCTGTTAAAGAGCTACTGACACAATTGATAATTCAGAGTTCCACTAATAAAACTGTATTGCAGTTAAGACACTGAAATACTAATCAACAAAAATAAAACACCTAGGACAATATGGATCAGTCTCAAAGTCTTACAAGAAGCCAGCAGACAAAACCTACGCTGTCATTCCAGGTATTCATAGTTGAAGTATAAAGCAGTGTAATGGTGAGAGGAATGAATTAGATAGTGGCTGCTAGGAGAGGAAGTAACCAACAGAAAACAGATGGAAAGATTCAGGGTTAGGGATGGAATTTTTGTCTAATTTGGTGGTGCATACACCTGTCAAATTTAAGGATACACATAAAACAGACACTGTACTAGTCATCTCTGGAACCTCCATTATGAGAACATACCTTCTGTCACACTGGACAAGCCTATGAAACATTTTCTTGATTGTGATCCATGAAGGGCCCAGCTGACTGTGGATGGGGCCACCCGTAGGCTGGTGGTCCTCACTGATAGATAAAAGCAGGCAAAACAAGCCAAGAGGAGTAATCCAGTTAAGGAGCACTCCTCTATAGCCTCTGGATCAGCTCCTGACTCTTAGGTTTCTGCTTGAGTTCCTCCTGCCCTGACTACTGGACTGGACTGTGAGACGTGAAACAATAAACTGAAATAAACCTTTTCTTCCGCAAGCTACTTTTGGTCATGGTGTTTTATCGCAGTAC